TGTCTAATCGTTAGGCTTTGGGGGCTGGGGGCAAGAATACTGTTATAAGCAACACCCATTTGAGAACAATAGGACATTACAAAATAGCATGTAACTGAAAATCTGAGAAACGGTTTTGCCACCTGGGTTGTTTACATGTTGCTTGTTTACTCATTAGGATTTGAAGTTATTGAGGATTCAATGCTTTGTTTTTTGGAACAAGGTCTCCCTATAGCCCCAACTGGCCTTGATCTCATAGAGATCCACCTACTTCTGCCTGGTGTTAAAGGCATGTGCCACCATTCCCAGCTTAACACTTTTATCTTGGAAAGAGTATGCCATTGACTACGTTACTCATAAAGGATTAATGTCTTGGGAGGGTCAGTTTTGTGTCCTTTAGAATTATTACAACCAGAATGTAATAATATAAAACGTGTTAACTCACTACAATAATGACCTAATTTTGAGGACTATGGTAGATATGAAATACTTATTTTGATAAAAATAATCAGTTAACATTTGAAGAGATGAATCATTCAATATTTGAGATTATTTTGATCTGTAGTTTTTCTCTACACCTACCTACTCTTCATCCAGTTTTAGAGCTAGTATTGTGATAACATTTTGCTCCCATTCTTGAAAGTAGTGTTGTGTTCATATTTTGCTCATTGGTTTTATGTTGAAAGCACCTGGAACAAGGCAGCATTCTTGATAACTACTTTTTTCCTACTCCTCTTTCTGGAAGAATGCCAAATTTGTCATAAGACTGAGGGTCATATTTCAAAGTCATCTGTCCTTTAGCCTATTCCAGAACCCAAAGGAGGCCGCCTTATCCAGGTTGAAGGCTACTGGATTTCAGTGGGAGACAAGGAGCCTACAATAGATGAGACCTATGTTCTGACCTCTTCTGTTAAGCTCAACCTGAGAGATATAGTCCGAGTCGTCTCTTCAGGGTATGTGGGGTTTTTATTCCTGCTGCTGTAAAGTTTCTGCAAGAAGGGTCCTACTTCTTATTGTAGTCTTCCTTTAGTGGTATTCATTGGCCAATGGAATCATTACTTCCTAAAATTAGGACTGATATTTCTTCTTGCATAATAGCTATATTTTTGGTGAGACTGATAATGGACATAGATTCTTAACTCTTTTTACAATTGCTTTTTGGGTTGGAGAGATGACTGAGTGGTTAAGTGTTTGCTGCTCTTCCAGAGAAGTTGAGTTGGTTCCCAATACCCACATGTATTTGGCTCTCGACAGCCTGGAACTCCAGTTTCAGGGCATATGATGCCCTACCATACACTCATACAGACATCCATACACATTTTTTTTTTTTAAGGTAAAATTACCTTGTTATTTTGCTGATAAATACTTTTTGTATTTGTTAGTTAAGTGAGTTAACAGTTCCCCTTTTTATTACAAGTAGTGCCAGAGGTTGGAATTGCTCTCCATAGTAATTTTTGAGGAGCAGTGTTTACACAGACCCTTCTCAATGCACAGGTATCATAAAGGTGTTTTTTGAGTATAACGTTAATGATACTTTCCCTTTTTTTTTTAAATTTTTTTGCCACTGTCAGTTTTTGAGTTTTGTGTTTATTGCGGCTCTCCTTTTCTTTTTAAAATTGCTTTATTGGCTCATCTTTTACAGAACTTATCCAGTGCTGATTCAAGGAGAGACATCAGTTGGTAAAACAAGTCTGATAAGGTGGCTGGCCGCAGCTACTGGCAACCACTGTGTGCGTATCAACAATCATGAACACACAGATATTCAAGAGTACATTGGTTGTTACACGTCCAGCCCCTCTGGGAAGCTTGTCTTCAATGAAGGTAGTGTTAATCCTCCATTATGTGGGTGCGGATTTCTGTCTTTTTGAGACAGGGTCTCCCTGTAGTCCCAGCTGTCCTGGCACTTCATATGTAGACCAGGCTGGCCTTCATCTCACAGAGATACAGCTGCCTCTGCCTCCCCAGTGCTGGGTCTAGAGGTGTGTGCCACCATACCTGGCTTTTTAAAAAAAATTTCTCTATTTAACGAGTACAAATGTTATGCCTGCATTTATGCAAATGCACCTGTGTTGCACATTGCCCTCGGGGCCAGAAGAGAGCGTTGGATTCCTTGGAACTGGAGTTATTGAAGTTTGTTAGCCGGCCGCCATGTGGGTGCTGGGATTCAAACCCAGGTCTTCTGCAAGAGCAGCCAATGCTCTTAACTGCTGAGCCAGCTTCTAGCCCCTAGACCCATTCTAAAAGTGATACTCGTAACCCTTTCTAATTGAGGCACAGGAACAGTACTGTAATGGCTGCTTTGTGTTGTCCCTAGTAGCTGATTAAAGGGTAATGCCCAAGTACTAGCTTTCCTGGGATTCCCACTAATCTTTTCAGCCAGTTTGAAGAAAACAAACAATCTTTTAGAGATTTAAAAAATAGGTAAAAGGGAGAAGGAAGTTGGGAATAGGTAGGAGAATTGGGTGATTAATGAAATTAGACTGCAAAGAGAAGATTCAACAAGTTGAAGGGGAAGTATTTATTAGCCCTGCCTCTCCTTTGGGGGTTATTTGGGGCTCAAGACTAACTACTAGAGTAATTTGCTGCAAATTAATGATAATCTAGGGTTTGTTGGTTGAATGTACATATTTTAAGATACTGAATGATTTATATACCTTTACCAATTCTCAGCATTCATTTTCTCATAGGTGTTCTTATTGATGCTATGAGAAAGGGCTACTGGATTGTGTTAGATGAATTAAATTTGGCACCCACTGATGTGTTAGAGGCACTAAACAGACTGTTAGATGATAACCGTGAATTGCTCATAACAGAAACACAGGAAGTTGTGAAAGCACACCCTCGGTTCAGGCTTTTTGCTACCCAAAATCCTCCAGGGCTTTATGGAGGCAGAAAGGTATGTAGATTTGCCCCCATCTTCTATAAATTATTGTATGAAATGGTAAATTCCTTATTAGAAATGAGACTTTTTGGCCTCTCAAAGGGTTTCTATTTTTGTGGTGAACAGCAAAGTCTCTATTTTAGAAATCAGATTAACATTCCTTTTTTTCTGTGTATTTCCTAGGTGCTTTCTAGAGCCTTCAGGAATCGATTTATAGAACTGCATTTTGATGAACTGCCCAGTTCTGAGTTGGAAACAATTTTGCACAAGCGGTGCAGTTTGCCACCTTCCTATTGCAGTAGATTGGTTAGAGTTATGTTGGACCTTCAGGTATTTCATGTCCTCATCACTGAATTGAGATTTAAATGGGGCGTATTGATCAGAGTTGTTAGGAAAATTTGGTTTTTCCTTTGGGTAGAAACTATTATTTTTACAGAGTAAAGCTCTTTTTTGGCTGGTGGGGAGTCTTGTTTCTAAAATGCATTATGTTAACATCTTTTTTCTTGTTATTTTCACCATCTAGGGATTGAACCCAGAGCCTTGTGCTTGCTAGGCAATCTCTGAACTATTAATCTGTGTCTCTAGCTCCTGTTTTAGGTTCTTTCTAAAAGCAACACTTGTATTATCTTAGATTTTTTTTTAGTGATAGTTATTGCATTTGTTATTTCCTTATTTGGGGTCTTTCGGTGCTTTATTTGTGATTTGTTTTGCAATTTTTGGCAAAGGCAAGCTACTTTCTTTTTTTCCTTTTATTATTTTGAGACTCATGACCCTCTTAGCTCCTTGAGTAGCACAGGCAACTGTGCCTGGCTTTAAACTTTATAATAAAGATAATGCAAGGTGATACTTGTATTGCATACCTGACCACCAGAGTTAGATTTCTAGAATTTACAGCAGGAGGAGAGAACCAGCTTTGGAAGCTTGTCTGGACACAAAGACCTTTTTATTGTGGTTCTTGCTTGTTAACTGCAAAACTATAGTTGATTTTCCCCACGATGCTGGGGATGGACTCCAAATTTGCACACACTTGTGAAGCGATCTACCAACCCATAAGGTTGTTTTCTTAAAGATAGTGTATATTATAGTTAGAGGTGTTCTTTATCAGGAATTATTTAAATTAGGTTCTAGAAAGCTATTAATACTCATGGCCTTCTGGTTCCATTGGGGACTAGTTTCTTAATCTTTTTTTTTTTTTTTTGAGACAGTGTCTTCTTATAACACAGCTGGCTTAGAACTGGCTATTAGACCAAGCTGGCTTGATCTCACAGAGATCTGCCTGTCTCTGCCCCCCAAGTACCAGGATTCAAGGGATGTGCCACCACACCTGGCTTTTATCTTTTAAGAAATATTTTGCGTTCATTCTTTGACAGTTTCATGCATATCACACATACATAGCACATATATTCACACACATTTTATTACATCTGCCTCTTCCCACCCCGGATCTCCCCGACATTTGCCCCTTATACCTCTATGTTGTCCTTGTTGTCTATTTTCTTTTTAATTGACCCAGTGAGTCTAATTTAGTTCTGACTGTGTGAGCATGGGCAGCCTATCCAGTGGTCACAGTCTTGAAGAAAAACTACTCCCACTTCCTCAGTAGCCATTAATGACCATGCCATGTCCAGAAGACAGCATTTCATAGCACTTCTCCCTATCCTCTGCCTGTAGGATTCTTTCTGTTCCCTTCTCCAGTGTTCACTGAGCATTCAATACACAAACCTACGAAAAGAAGCTTCTGTGATCAATGCTGAGAGCAGTACTAATCTATGGGTTAAAAAAAATATATTTAGAAAGCAATTTGACAACACATGTGTTTGGTTAACTCTCCCTCACCAGGGCCTATCATCTCCCCAGCCATGGAGTTTTAAACAAGTTTACAGTGCCATACATGAGACTTCTCCCTTATTGAGCAGACCTCAGATCCATATCAGAAAGCAGTTAGTTACCCCCAGAATCTCCATGTTCCTACTGCACCAGTGGGCACGTCTTGTCAGGCCGGTCAGTATTTATTGTAGCATTTCTAGTCAACTACTGGCTAAGTCCATTGATGATCCACTTCCACCCTCCCTCCCCCGACCCTCCAAAAGCATCATGCATAATACCATTCCGCACTGTGAAGGCTAATCAGTAAGTAGTAAGGAAATTTCCAGGTCAGTTCAGTGTAATTTCTCTGTCTCGCAACCAAAGTATGCTGTGTCTTCAGCAGCAAGGTCTTAATGCCTAGTTATGGTGGAAAACCAAGAACAATGGTATAAATTTGTGTTGTAGTTACAAAGTAGTTGGTTTCCATAAGAGTTTTTATCTTTGACACCAATTTGCTGATTTAGTCTCTTTTCTTGTATGGTATGGGATCTCATTGTTTATTACTTTTATTTACACTTCATTTTGAACATTTCTCTTTACATAGTTGTAGAACGTTTGCATTTCTGAGTTTAATCTTATTAGAATAAAAACATTTTAATGAGACTTTAAATTTATTAGTACTTTTAAACATGTATGCTGTCTATTCAATGTGATAAACAGTTCGTTTGTTTTTATACTTTAATAGTCCTACCGTAGAAGTTCTTCGGTGTTTGCTGGAAAACAGGGCTTCATCACCCTTCGAGATCTGTTCCGATGGGCTGAAAGATACAGATTAGCTGCACAGACTGAAAAGGACTATGATTGGCTACAACATTTAGCCAATGATGGTATGTATTTTTTTTTTTTTTTTTTTTTTTTTTTTTTTTTTAGACAGGGTCTCCCTGTAGCCCCAGCTGTCCTGGAACTCACTATGTATACTCCCTGTAGCCCCAGCTGTCCTGGAACTCACTATGTACACCAGGCTGGTCTTGAACTCGCAGAGATCTGCCTGCCTCTGCCTCCCGAGTGCTGGGATTAAAGGCATGCACCACCACGTCCGGCTAATGATGGTATATTTTAATGTATACAGTTATACCAGGTGTCATGTGTTAATCCTGCCCAAATGTGCTTGATGCATTCCTTTCCCTACATGTTCCAGAAACTACTCAGACCCGTAATACTCTTATTGTAAGCCTTTCAATTCTAACAGGTATTTGTGATTCCCAAGGTTTTTCTTTTCTTGTTTTTAGGCAGGGTCTTTCTTTCTAATTGCCTATTCTGGAACTCAAGATCCTTTTGCCCTAGCCTATAAATGTTGGGATTATAGGCATGAACCATTATACCCACACTGCTATGGGTTTTACTTCTTTGTTTCAAGTGGCTACATGTGAAGTCAGGATATAGCATAGCTCTTTAGGAGCTGGAGATTGACAGTTTGTGGGCCATTTGCCTTCGGTGTGGTAACCAGAGATAGTGTAAACACTGGTCATTATTGTTTAATTTGTAATAAAAATTTATGTTATTTGCTGTGAATACAACAAGAAGCATTTTGTACTTGTGATTTGCAAAACAGCAGAGAGTCATTAATGAGGCTCTTTTACAATAAGGAGCATAAATAAAATCGACCCGTGAGAGTTTTCTCTCTTTTTCTGGCAAGAAGGTGGTAGGTTTCTTGGAGAGTAAACCTGTTATTACTAGAGTCATGGGGTAAGATCCCAATTTGAGGCAGAGGGTTGCTCTAGTCTGTCAGTTCCATCCACTCACCTCCAGACATGTTAGTGGAAAAAATAGCAAAGCAGAAATATATTCAATCTAGCCATATTAGGAAGACCTGGTGGGGGCTGGGGGAGTATGGTTCAGAAGGACAAAACCTACAGTCTTCAGTCCTGGCTTCAAAGAGCTAAAAAGAGAAAGGGAGGGAAAGTAGATATAGTCAAATAATTTTGGTTAGCCCATAGCCTGGATGGTCATTTTCTCAGAGTTGACCACACACAGCCCTAGTCTCTGTTGCCTGGGAATAGTTTTGAATCTTGTCATATAATGTTAATCCATCAGAACTGTTGCTCCTTAAATATAAAGTAGATTGTAGGAGAGGGTGACTCAGAGAAAGGTCAAGGCAGGAGGGCAAGGTGGTGTTAGGCTTTTAAGCCTAAAGCAATGGCTGAAGACTTCTATGAACAACAGCAGTTAAAGGCGGAAGGTGGCAATCTGTGGTTATGCCACAGATACCTTAATTAATACCTTAATTATCTTTTCCTTGATGCTAGAAGGGTGAGGTTCACAACTTTTAGATGAATGTTCCTCAAATGATGGACATGTTTATATATAGAGGTAAGCGGGCATCTCAGTCAAAGTTAAATTTTACTCAGACAAAAAAATGCACATTGAAGGCAGAGGTGCTAGGCTTTTTCCTGCTTTTACTATTTGGGGCATCTGTCTGTAGGCCCAAATGGTCAGAGACTGAGTGAGTACGTGAATGAGTGAGTGAGTGCGTGCGTGCGTGCATGCATGCATGCGCACACTTTTACTAGCAGAGCTTTCTTTAAATCACTTCTTGAAACCCAGGGCCTTGTGTATGTTGAACATCCATTCTGCCGGTGAAATGTGTCACCTTTTTATTTTCTTTCTTGGAAAAAAGAAAGATAAAGGACTGGGTGTAATGGTACATTCCTTTAGTACTAGCACTTGGAAGGTTGAGGCAGTAAGATCACAAGTCTGAGGCCAGTGACATGGACAAACAGACAACACATTTTCTTATGCTTTTCTGTTGAAATAGGAAGCTGATCAAGCATTTTTACATATTTATGTATATATCCATGTAAGTTACAGGCTCTGCCTACATTTAGAGTATTTCTAAATCTCAGGTTTCTTTTATTTATTATTCTTTGTGTGTGTGTGTGTTTGTGTGTGTGTGTGTGTGTGTTTGTGTTTGAGGGTTGTCTCATTAAGCAGTCCACATAGACTGGGACTTATTTTGTAGCCTATGCTGGCCTTAAATTTATAATCTGCCTCACTCTTCAGTGGATTACAGCCTTATACTACCATGTCTAACTTCTTTTATCTTTTATGTGGACGTAACCACATCTGACTTGTCGAAAGTTACTGATTCTGTCTTGTGTTTGAGCTTGATTGGATGGGATCCTACAGTGTATGTTCTTGGGCTTCTGACATCTTCATTCACGCTATTATGTACATCAGGACTAAATCCTTTGGTTTTTTTTTTTTTTTAATATTTTGCAACCCATTATATGGAGATAAACAATAATTTGTCTTATAATTTGGGCATTTGGATTATTTGTCTTAGGCTGTGGTTCTTTAGATCCCTCTCCACCAAAAAATTATGAAAATTGCTCTTGCTTCATGTTCTCAACGTTCTTTGATATTTCTACGGATACTTAATTATTCCCTTTTTTCCAATACTCAGGTTTTATGCTTCTAGCAGGCCGAGTCAGGAAGCAGGAGGAAGTTGATGTGATTCAAGAAGTCCTTGAAAAACATTTCAAGAAAAAATTATGTCCTCAGTCTCTTTTCTCCAAAGAAAATGTCCTGAAGTTACTGGGTGAGTAAATCAGAACGCCTGAGGAATATGAATCAGGTTATGCTTACTAGAACCTACAGTATTTTTTCTGCCTTGTATAGGTAAATCATCTACCCAGACAAATCCATTGGAGTCTAAGTTCAACCATATCGTATGGACTGAAGGCATGCGGAGATTGGCAGTGCTAGTGGGAAGGGCATTGGAATTTGGTGAACCAGTGCTGCTGGTTGGAGACACTGGGTAAAGTTCTTTAGGAAGAGTTCATTGAGAAGTTTTAGTTCAGTTCCATAGGATTGCTTGAGTTACCTCTGAAGGCCTTGTGGAAGTGTTTTTAATTTCTCTTCTTCTTTTTTCTCCCTTCCCCTCCCCACTCCTCCTTCCCTCCAAGTCTTTTAAAGTTCGACTCATTCAGTAGATAGTGAAGAAGAATAAGTATTTTAGTGTTTCTTTGAATTTGTAAGGATTATATCTCTTCCTCTCCTTGGTGATTGTAGACTAAAAGAATGGAATTTGTATAGTGGATAGCTCCCTTAGGGATATGGCAGAGCTCTGTTGTTCTACAGAAGGACACTGTGAACCTGAGTTGCAGACAGCTTGCGCCATCTGCTACTGTAATGAGCTTCTCAACATGGCCCTTTTGCTGATATTATGTTTGTGATTATATAGTTGGAACACATGCTCCTTCTTATTCTGGTGTATTTTTAATAGATGTGGGAAAACTACAGTCTGCCAGATGTTTGCAGCCTTGGCAAATCAGACACTATACTCAGTCAACTGCCACTTAAACATGGAGACATCCGACTTCCTGGGAGGGTTAAGGCCAGTGAGACAGAAGCTAAATGACAAGGTTTGTTTTGTAATAAATATTGGTATACTTATTAATAGAACTGTAGTTTGCTATGTTCATGTTGCTGTTGAATTTTGTTTATGGTGGGATTTGTAGATCCAAGTTCAGATTTAGGTATTTATGCATATTTTGCTGGTCTACAAGGGGCCTTAACAAGATCCTGCTTCATAGGTTTTTTTTTTTTTCTTTCTCAGACCTTTGCTTTTTAAAGAATGCATATTTCACCTCAGCAGGCACCATCTAGATATTTGTATATTTTCTTGTGTAGCCACCTTCTCTGTAATTCCCCCTCCACTTTTCTAAATTACAGGAAGAATTGGACACAAGACTCTTTGAGTGGCATGACGGGCCTCTGGTTCTGGCCGTCAAGGAGGACAGCTTTTTCCTCATGGATGAGATCTCCTTGGCTGATGACTCTGTACTGGAAAGACTGAATAGGTAACATGGATGAGAGGCTTTCCCTTATTGATGTTTTTATTGGCCTTGTTTTTATCTATAATTCAGTTGTTTAAATAATAATGATGATACTTTTTGGTACATAGGAAATTATGGAAAACTTAGAGTGACTCTTCCTTTTGGCACTTCAGGCTGCTGTTTTTTTCTTTGAGACAGGGAGTCTCCCTGTTGCCTCAGGTGGCCCGGAACTCAGAGATCATCATGCCTCTGCCTCTTGAGTGCTGGGACTAAAGGTATATACCAACACACCCGGCCTTGGTCCGTTTTTTCTTTCAAGAACCAGAAACAAGGCTGTGGGGTGATAGAACCAAAACAAATGAATTTGAGTGAAAATGATTTTTTTTCAGGTAAATTATATGTTTACTCTTATTCTGAAATTTTTAAACAAAATGTTATAATCCTAGATTAGGTACTATATAAGGTATTTGCACAACATCAGATCAGTATTACTCTTGATATTGTGATACCTAGTTTTCCTTTTTATTGAAGTCTTTATATCATAAAATGTACCTGGTATATTTGTAAAATTTAATGAGATTTTCAGGTACCACAATCCAGTTTATATGTAGTAAGATCTCTCCTGTACATACAATTAATTTCTGGATTTTACCCCTGCTCCAGGAATTTAACTTTTCAATACAAATTTGACTTTATTCTCTCACTTTGGGGTGGGTGGATGTGGAAGGGTCCTTTTGAGACCAGATTTCCCTGTAGCCCCAGCTGGCCTGGAACTTGCTAGACAGACCAGAATACCCTTGTTCTCACAGAGTTTTGCCTGCCTCTGCCTTCTGAGAGCTAGGATTTAAGGCATGTGCCACCACAACCAGCTTATTCTCTCACTTTTGGTATTAATGTTTTGTGTTATGTGTTTGTATTCATGTGTGTGGAGTTCAGAGGCTAACATTGGGTATCTTCCTCAATTGTTCTCCACTTTACTTATTTAGATAGAGTCTCTTATGGAACCTGGAGCTCATCCCTTTGATTACATTCTCTGGCCAACAAGCACTGTACCAATTGAGCTCTCTCCCAGCCTGCTTTATTGATACAGGGTGTCATTATGTAACCCAAGAAGATTTGGAAGTCCCTTTATAGCCCAGATGACCTCTGTCTAGCACCACTCCTCTTGCCTTAGCCCAGAGTGTTGGGAATACCAGCACGAGCCATTATACCTGCGTAGCTCTGTGTTACTGTTTTGATCGTCATCCGTTTCACAGTATATGTCTTTGTCACATCACAGTGTATATTGTTTTGTATTCCTAACAACATTGGATAAATTACTTTTTGTTTACTCCTTTACTATTTGATGATATTTTAGTTTTATCTACTTTTGAGGTATTATAAATAATTGTGAACTGTTGAATTTGAGATACTCATTGTCAAGACAGGTGTATTAGTAAAACAGTGTACAGAATGGAGTTCTTTTTCTCTTGATCAAAAATTTGTCTGATACCCTATGTTTGATCCCTAGAACCCTCATGGCAGAAGGAGAGAACAGACTGTAAAAGTTGTCCTGTGACCTTTTCCTGTGTGTTGTGGTCTGTGCATACCTACACCTACACACTGAGGCACATACACACAACTAACTAAATAAATGAACAAACTTGTTGTGAAAAAAGAACGGTGTTCCTGATGGCTATAGTGGGTACATACCTCTAATCTCAGCACTTGGCTGAGGCAGGATGATCAAGAGCTCTAGACCAGCCTAAGCTTGGCTCTATAATGAGACCTTGTCCTTAAAAGGGCTGTGTGTGTGTATTACATGGCAATTGGAACACTTGAGTTGTACTGTGTAATAGGACACCATTAAATTGGTAACTCCACAGAGGACATGGTTTTCTTTTAAAAAATGTTCAAATTCATGAAATAGAATGCATTCCTTTTCTCATCTTTTCCAATTTTTTTCCATCAGTGTCCTTGAAGTGGAAAGGTCTCTGGTATTAGCTGAGAAAGGCAGCCCAGAAGATAGAGATAGTGAAGTAGAGCTATTGACTGCTGGAAAAAATTTTCGTATCTTAGCAACCATGAACCCTGGGGGCGACTTTGGAAAAAAAGAGGTAAAACCATCTTCCTGAAGCATCATTTCTTTCTAGTTTTTTACCTCAGCTTATTGACACCCATTAACATAGTATGTATAATACATGTGAATTGTATGGTGGGTAACAACTGAGGAATTGAGTAATAGGTAAAAATCCATAAAAGACATTGGTAATCATTATGTAATACAGAAAAACCTCAGACAGTTCTGTATTTGGCATTTCACTCTGTGTATGTGCCAAAAATGTCATGAATTACTGTCACTTGCTAGCCATTGTTCCATTTCTCTTGCTGAGCTTGAAACTTATTCTGATTTATGCTTTGTTGTTTCCTGTGTGTGTGGCCCTCCCCACCCCCCCATTGTGTGTATGTGTGTTTCTTTGTTTTAGTCATTCATGTTTGAGACAGACTGTCTATAACCAGGCTGGTCTTGAGCACATGATTAAACTACTGCCTCAGCCTCTAGGATTACAAGCATGGGCCACCATGCCCGGGTAGAACCTCAGTTAAGTGCTAGAGTGGTTTTATGAGCAATTTCGCAGTATCAGATGTCATAGGTGAGGTTAGACATGGTAGTGTATGTCTGTAATGACAGCACATAGGAGGCCAAGACAAGGGGATTGCTACAAATGTGGGCCACATAGTTTTGTGAATAGAGCATGTTTATTCTCTTACAGGTTGTGTGGGTTGTATCAAGTTGTTGGTAAATTTTCTTCTCTTCAGAAGGTTGTGCTCAGAATCCATCAGGTGCCAACAACCCTGTGGCTTTCAGAAAGCTCATGAAGCCATTCCATGAAAAAGTGAAAAAGGCAGCATTATGTGCCTGATCCCAGTCTATTTAGGGTAGTATGGTAATAGGTAATATGTCAGGAATGATAAGAAGAAACAAGAATTGGTCTTTAATAAAGGCAGTTAAGATTCTTGATAATTGTTGGATGCCTAAAATGTGACCATGGTAGCATAAGAGGAAATAATATCACTTTACTTTTGAGATCTGGTTTTAAGGTTGTTAGTGTCAACTTGTCCATCAGGGTAGCTTACACTTAAGACAAGCTGACCATCTCTTACGTGGAGCCAGATAAGATCCTGAGTTGCCAGAGGCATTGATCATTTAGAGGGGTGGTGTGTATAACATGAATTTACTATGTGTTTAGTGAACTGTTCCTGTGAGCAGGCATTGTTCTGGCTCTCCAGTGGTAGACCAAATGGATGATTACTTTACAAAAAAAAAAAGAAGGAATGGATGACAAACAGTAACTAAACCTGTGGCACTGCAAACCCTTGTAGTCAGAGGTTCACTGGATTTGATAAGGGGAATAGAATGTAGGTTGACAGCAAAAGCTGTAATACTAGAAGAGCTGAACAGTATGTGTTATGTGAGAAGTGAGGCATATAGCTCTTTATCATTTCTTGCTTTGTGCTATATACATGAAGGTTTTTCCTTCTACTCCAGACAGCACTTTTCTATGGGAAGATGGTTGTTTGTATAACTGAATAGGAAGTAAAGGTAAAGTAAAAGGAAGAGCCTTTGTTCAAGGGCAAGAGTTTCAACTGCTGCTAGAATCTCAGTGTTTGTACCACTTACTCTGTGAGGCCTTGAAGCTGTGTACAACATCTGTAAAGAGAACAGATAATGGCAGCATGTGGGGGAGTATCTATGGAGATTAACGCTGTGACATCTGTGAGGAGCCAGGCCTTCAGTAAACTGTACCTACTAGCAGAGGTAATAAATGAGGCATCTAGTGTGTGCTGAATTAATGCTAACAGTCTTTTCAAAGGACCTGTTTTTTAGTTTCATTAGTTTTAAATTCACATTAGAATTGTGTTCCTTACAGCTGTCTCCTGCTTTAAGAAACCGATTTACAGAAATATGGTGCCCTCAAAGCACAAGGCGTGAAGATTTAATTCAAATAATAAATCGCAATCTTCGTCCTGGATTGTCTCTGGGCAGAATAGGTCATAAAGGTGAGTTTGCAGGTGGTGGTGGTGGTTGGACGGGGGATTGGAAATGATGAAGTGATGAGTCAGTCATTGGATAGTAGCTGTATGTGTAGTCAACATGTTATAAAACGAATGAGACCAAAAAGGGGGGAAAAGTGTGAAAAATACAGCATTTGCGGGGCTGGAGAGATGGTTCAGCAGTTAAAAACACTGGTTGTTTTTTCAGAAGACCCGAGTTCGAATCCCAGAACCCACATGGCAACTAACAACTGTCCATAACTCCAGTTCCAGGGGATCCAACAGCCTCTTCTGTCCTCCATGGGTATTGCACAACCTGGGTGCACTTACCTACATGCAGGCAATACACACATACACATAAAATGAAAATAATAAAAAATTTTTTTTTTAAAAAAAGAAAAATACAGCATTTGCCTATTTTATATTTTTGAGTATTTTGCCTGCATGCATGTAATTGAGCCATGGTGCATGCAATGCCCTCACGAGCAAGAAAAGGGCATCAGATCCCTGGAGCTGGAGTAACAGAAAGTTGTTAGCTGCCATGTGGGTTCTGGGACTCAAACCTGGATTCTCTGCAAGAGCAGCCAGTGTTCGTATCCACTGAGCCATCTCTAGCATCTGAAAGTATCTTTTATTTTGTCTTTTTCTTTCTTTTTTCTCTTTCCCTGGAGCTGAGGACTGAACCCAGGGCCTTGCGCTTGCTAGGCAAGTGCTCTACCACTGAGCTAAATCCCCAACCCCAGAAAGTATCTTTTAATACTGTATTTTTTCCCATTTGCATGTGTGTTTATTCATGTTTTGTATGTGTGTGGACATGTATGTATGTATATATGTATTTGGAGGCCTGATGTTGATCCCAAGAATCATCTTCAGTTTCCCTTCTACCTTATTCATCTACAAAGGGTTTCTCAGTCAAATCCAGAGCAAAGTTTGTTTCATCTTGCTAGCCAGCTTGCTTTAGGAAGTCTCCGGTCTTTGCCTTTTGAGGCCGGAATTATAGACTACCATGCCCACCTGGCATTTATGTGGGGACTAGGGAGCCAACTTCCAGTCCTTGGGTTTGGAGCTGTTTTTCCAGCTGTTTTCTTCATATTATTATCATTCTAGCAACTGTTTATGAGATCTAAGCTTTACTTCTTAAGTTGTCATAAATGAATCTTTGACTATTGAATTTTTTTTTTTTTTTTTTTTTTTTTGTTTTTTTTTTTTTTTTTTTTTTTGGTGTTTTTGAGATAGCATCTCCTTGTAGCCCCAGCTGTCCTGGAACTCACTGTGTAGACCCAGGCTGGCCTCGAACTCATGAAGATCCTCCTGCCTCTGCCTCCCAAGTGTTAAGATAAAAGGCATGCGCCACCATTTTAGGATTTTTTTGTTTGTTTTCTTTTGTTTTTTGAGACAGGGTCTCCCTGTACCTCCAGCTGGCCTGGAACTTGCTTTGTAGACCAGGCTGGCCTCCAACTCACAGAGATCCACCTGCCTATCTGCCTCCTAAGTGCTGGGATCAAAGGTGTGCGCCACCGTGCCTGGCCAAATTTTTCATTTTTATTATAAAAAACCTTCAGCCTGTTGCACCTGGACTTTGCTAGCATATTCCTCACCCACAAGACTGGTTTGCACTGTACTAGCTTAACATCCTTCGTGAAATTCTACTCCTAATGTTTTTGAGCAGGTAACTCAGTGCTGCATGAATGTGGAATCATAGGTTAGTAGCAAAGGTTTCACATCATGAGCTTAGTGACCATCTTAAACTTCAGAAATGTCTAAGACAGGGGTAAGATTCAGACATTCTAAGCCAAGGTCCTGAGTATTCAGATGGAATTGAAAGAATATTTTGTAGGACATTTGATCTTCATTCATCACTGTAAGGGTGGCCACAGAAAGGACTCTTGGACTCTGTATTTTAGTGCTGACCCCTGAATCCTGTCCTCCAGCTACATACATACGTAGGTACCTACGTATGTATGTAGATCATACACATATATCAGAAAACATGAAGCTGAGCCTTGGTGAAGAGTTGAGGAATTTGTCAGGTTATGAAGCTATGAAGGTCTTTTGTTAAACATGCTGCTCTTCCTCTAAGGCTAGCTCTGTGGCTCTAGGCTGCTGGTCCTGGGCCCTCTGCTTTCTCTTCTGGGGTTTTCTGTGTTCTGTCAGTGCTGTGCTTCTGCCTAGACCAGAAGTCTAGTTGTCTAGATACTAATTGAAAGCTATGGCCTAGTTTCCCTTTTTGTTCTCAGATCTGAATTAACTTCTTTCTTATTCTCAGCTCTGAATCAACTTCTTGTCTTTGGCTCTAAATTGGTAGATGTTATAAAAGCTGCATTTTGTGAGGTAGAGAGGTATGCAAAAAGGTTTTCTTTCCTGTTTTTTTCTGCAGGGGGGGTGGGGGTACCTAACCAATTCCTAGCATTGAAGGCTGATATGTAGTCTACTTTAAACTGTGGCAGTGTTGGTTCTTTCTCCTTGTCCTTTTTCTGTGTAAACATTCTTTGGAAGCCAGGATTAAGTGCTATATTCCTGTAATCTTAGTACTTGGGAGGTAGAAAGTGCAAATTTAAAGCCAGCCTGGGCTATATAGTGAAACCATGTCTCAAAACAAAAAGCATTCTGTAGTGTTTACACTTTTAAATAAATATTTACTGTTCATTTCAGATGTTTTATATGTTATGTTCTTTAAATTTTATTGACATTAAAATTTTTGTTGTATTTAGGTTTTCTTTGTTCACAGCTATTTTATGAAACAAAATTTAGGGATCCCCCATTTGCTGAATGTAATAGTATGTAGATTTGAAATGTTCACACAAATAAATGAAAGAACTAAATTAAATGTCACTGCAAGGTGGCATTACCCATTATGGTGAATATAATACAGATAGATGCTCTCCACTTCAATGGTATTACATAAATTGGAAATGTATTTAACAGACCTAACCTATGAAACATAATAGTCTAGTAACACAGTGCACTGCAGCAGATTGGTTTATTCATACGATCTGGTGAATGCAAATCTAGTATGTTTCACAGTGTTATCGTGATACAACTTCATAGTGTGTCTGAACAGTAACTAAATGATAGTTTTTGGTTTTGTTTTGTCCTTCATGATACAGTATTACCATCTAATCTGGCCTAGAACTCTGTATAACATAGGCTAGCTTCAAACTTAAAGTTGTCCTCTTGCCATATACCATTTCTGACCCACTTAACGTACTTTTTTTCTATGTGTAGTTTTCATGGCAGCTTCTTAGGCTCTTCTCAGTGGGTTTTGTTTGTCTTTATTGTTTTTTAAACAGGAATAGAATACTCCTCATGAACCACTTGGTTATAAAAATTACAGATTTCTATCCTTGGAGAAAAAAAGACTTGATAAGCATTCATAGAATTTTTCATATAAGCTAGGACACATAGACCCTGCCCCCTTGCCATTTGTGAGCCTCATATTCTAAACTTCTTTTTAAGGATATCTTATAGAAAACAAATACTTTCGTTCCTGTCTTAGGTGTTGACATAGCTGAGGTGATGCTGGATTTCATTGACTGGCTGACCCACCAGGAGTTTGGACAAAAGTGTGTGGTCAGTATCAGAGATATCCTGTCTTGGGTTAACTTCATGAACGCAATGACGGAGGAAGCTGCTGTGAAAAGGCTAGAGACCATCTCCACTGTGACGTCTTTTGTCCATGCTGCATGCCTCGTATATGTAGATGGAATAGGTTCTGGTATGTTGTCTGTTGGGGACAGTAGGCTTGGCAGGATAGAGGGGGAATGTTTCCAGCACTCATCGTAGCTCCTTTTGTGCCTATTCTTTGAAAAGGGTAGATGTTTTCAAAAGTAGACTTAATGGTAAACTGAGCCAGTTGGATGGCTCAGTGTATGGTAAAGGCATCTGCTACACCTGATGACCTTGAGTTTGGTCCCAAGAACCCATGTGGTATGGAGGTAGGTGTGCTATCACCCCCTCCTCCCACACATGTACACAATAAAGAAGGAAATTTTAAAAAATGAAAGGAAAGTGATGAGATGATTACAGAACTGTAGCTATTAAAAATGACCTTGCCCCTGAAGTGCTAGATAATTTTTATAGCACAAGTGGCATTTTAGTTAATGCTAAGAATTCTTAGTTTAATTTTGCTTATATTCATGAGTTAAGTTCTGGTTTTTCAGCCATGAAGATTAAAATTCTAAACCAAATTGATAAATCATGCTATGTACTGTCTCCAGATCTGTTTTTTATTGTGTGGCTGCAGTACTTCCTGAGCAAGCTGCTACATTGACAGTGCATAAACTGGGGAGAATCTCTTGGTTCTTCCTCTTTCCTCAGGACTGCTTCCACTGGAAGCTATATTTAGGCTGTGATTCTACTGGGGCCCTACTAGACCTCCTGTGAATATCATGGACATGGTGTTGCTGCTCTCTGATGTACTAATGCTCCCTCATAGGGGTAACTTCCTCCGGGTTTGGTACGGCCCTGTTGGCTCGAGAAGAATGTCTGAAATTCCTAATAAAGAAACTTTCCAAAGTAGTTCGACTAACAGAATGTCAGAGAAATGAATTGAAGATTTATGATAGACTCAAGGCCAAAGAATTTATTGGTATAGATAACCTTTGGGGAATTCACCCATTTTTTATACCAAGAGGTAAGAATGATTTTAAATGAATTGATTATTCCCTTCCCATAGATCATAAAAGTACTTAAATTGTGACTTAGTCTTGTGTGTGAAACTCATTATTATTTTTTCTATAGTAACAATCTGAACTCCACAAGCCCATACAGGGGCCTTTTTTCGTATATCTTAAATATAAATCTTGTTGCTTTTTATAAAAATGGATTTGTTAACTCCTGAGAGTGGGTGTTTTTTTCCTTCATCTTCCTGTCACTGGCATCTGCCATGTAACCCAGCTATCATAGAGTGAGTAGATGGATGAGTAAATGGTTAAGTGGGAAATAAAGTCTAAGAGACAATGTGTTGACATCTAAGCCTGGGTTCTTCTAATTTGCCTCTGCCAAATACTTACTTTAGGGGCTACAGAGATGGCTCAGTGGTTAAGAGCAGTGTATGCTCTTGCAGAGGATCCACATTCAGTTCCTAGCACCCACATGGTAGCTAACACCAATACTTAACACAAGTTCCAGAAGATATGCCTTCCTCTTCTGGCCTCTGGGGGCATTGCATACATGTGGCACACATAAATGCAGGCAAAACTTACACACTTAAAATTTTAGACATTTTTTAAAAATTATACTAATTTTGTGATGTTAGAACACAGGGTTTGGCATGATTGCACATCTTGTAAAGCATTTTAAATTGTAAAATTAAAAAAAAATTATGTGTATAAATGTTTTGTCTCAGTGTATGTAAGTACCTCCTTGCATGCAATGCCCACAGAAGACGGTGTTGGAATCACTGGACCTGCAGTTACAGTTGTTGGCTTCCGTGTGAGTGCTGGGAACTGAATCTGGGTCCTCTGTAAGAACAGCCAGTGTTCTTTACTACCGAGACTTCCTCTAAAAATTTGGAAGTGCTTGAAACACAGAGATGTAGTGATAGTTAGGGAAATACCTACTCATAAAGGTGAATTGTATAATGGCAGGAGAAGTGTGTGTATTGACAACTAGATCTGTACTTGTATGTTTATGTGGTATTAAGTGGATAATTTATACTAGGCACAGTTGTTACTGGCTAGTCCTGTAAGGTATTTTATATATCTCCATTTGGGAGGGTTTTGAAATGGGGATAAACATTTTCACTACAGGTAGTACTTCACTGGTCGCCTCTTAACTATATTCTTAAACTCTTTGGATGACAAGTACATAGGATTTGATTGTGCCCAGCTTATATGACTTTGCTTTTCTTCACTTAAGGACCTGTCCTGCATAGGCATAATATTGCAGACTATGCACTCAGTGCGGGCACCACAGCTATGAATGCCCAGAGGCTTTTGAGAGCTACTAAATTGAATAAACCCATTCTCCTGGAGGGTTCCCCCGGTGTTGGCAAGACGAGTTTGGTGGGAGCATTAGCAAAGGCTTCAGGAAATACTCTGGTTCGAATCAACTTGTCAGAGCAAACGGTAAGCACATAGGGATGGGGATAGTTAATACTGCCTTTTCCTGTCTATCTATCATCTATCTTTCTGTCATCAATTATCTATCCATCCGTCTATCTATTTATCATGTTTCCTGCTAAGAAATGGTTATCACTGTCAGTACTACAGCTGTTTTATATGGTTATAAAGATAATGAACATCCAAACTAAGTCTGTTTCCAGACTCTACTAGCTGACACCTGCAGTGTTCTCTCTTACTCAGATGTTTTATTCTCATTTTCTTTAGGCAAAGAACTACTCACTTGGAATTTAGTATGCTATAATGTATTTAATTTTTTTTTTTTCTTTCTCAAAAAAAGTCTTAGTAGAAGTAAAATGACTTAAAAAGTCTTATGTAAGCCAGGCATGGTGCTGCACGCCTTTAATCCCAGCACTCAGGAGGCAGAGTTCAAAGCCAGCTTGGTCTACATAGCGAGTTGCAGGCCAGCTGAGACTACAGGGAGACCTTGTCTCAAAAAGCCAAAAAGGAAAAAAAAAAAAAGTCTTATGAGATGGCTCAATGGTTCAGAGCACTGGCTTTCTTGCAGAGACCTGCGTTTGGTTTCCAGCACCTTCTTGGTAGCTAACAACTGTTCATAACTCTAGTTCCAGGAGATAAGGCACCCTCTTCTGATCTGTGGACTTTGCAGAACATAGTTGCACGTGCAAGCAATACACTCATGCACATAAAATGAAAATAATAAGTAAAATATTTAAATATTGAAAATATAGGTCAGAGATGACAAATGGACAGGGGTCTAGGATAAAGGTCTGAATATTGTTTTGTTGTTGCTTGTGCTAAAGCTCACCAGTTAATTTCCAAGTAGAGCCCAGGTTCAGAGCTAATATATGAACATCTGCTTTAAGAGATTGGTACTTGTTACCTTGTGAGTGAAGGTTCTTGAGGCATGCTAGGGCTCCTGGTAAGGAGTGCCAGGTGGCCCATCACTTCCAAAAAAAGAAAGCAAAGAAGAAAAGTTTTTAAAGTTATATATGGTCCACCCAAGCCTTTACTATTTCAGATTTAATACCTTAGGTTCCAGTTGATTCATCTTTGCTTTTGATTTTTGTTTTGGTAATGTTGGATTTACCATTCTTAAAGGATATCGCTGACCTGTTTGGAGCAGATCTACCCGTTGAGGGGGGCAAAGGAGGAGAATTTGCCTGGCGTGATGGCCCCTTGCTTGCAGCTTTGAAGGCAGGCCATTGGATCGTGTTGGATGAGGTGAGCATCAGATACTGATGAGATTACATGTGAGAAGTAGTCAGATGTTGCACAACTTTTGGGTGTTATCAAAAGACTTGATGGCCATCACAGGCAAAACTGATGAAAAGATCCTCCATAATTTCTTTTAGTAATCAGAAAGGTTACTCGGCAGCATGCACATACAAAAGCCCCTCCCTCTACTTATGATCTACAAATACTCCTACTTTTAAATTGCTTCTTTTGGGGCTGGAGAGATGGGTCAGCGGTTAAAAACACTGGTGGTTCTTACAGAAGACCCAGGTTCGAATCCCAGCACCTACATGGCAGCTAACAACTGTAACTCCAGTTCCAGGGGATCCGACAGCCTCTTCTGTCCTCTGAGGACACTGCATGACATATATGCACTTACCTACAAGCAGGCAATACACGCATACACATTATTTAAAAAAAAAAATTTTTTTTAAATGAAAAATTTTTCTTAATTAAAAAATTGCTGCTTTTATTAAAAATTATTTTTATTGTATGTGTATGAGCCAGACTTGGTGGTGCACGCTTTTGATCCAAGCACAGGAAGCAGAGGCACAGGAATCTGTGAGTTCGAGGCCAGCCTGTGGCTAAAGGGAGACCCTGTTCCCAAAAAAAGACAAAAGAAAAACCCAGGGGACAATGCAACTTTATCTTCATTTACTGGCACTCCTTCATGAGGATCTACTTGTGATTGAATTTTTTTTTTTAACAAAGAAAAATGTACAATGTTTGTTCTTTTATTGTCAAGTCTCTGGCAGGCTTGCTGTATTTGCCTTCATTTTAGAGTTGTTTTACAAATTGTGTCAATCACTTCAAGTTTTGATAGTGCTCTAGGGTGACTGGGGAACTGGGGATAGATATTCACAATGATATTCAAAAATAACCAGTAAGTGATCAGTGTGAGGTGTGTGTGTGTTGAATAAATTGCTCGTCTGAGTTAAAAGCGCATCATGGGACATGGTAAATATTGGGTCTTTGTGTCTGACAGCTAGAAATAAGGAGTTGGGTCTTTGGGAATGTTCAGTGTTAGTTCAGGAAAAGACTGAAATGATGAGAGTGATGAACATGCTGCAGAAGAAACTGGACGCGGAAGGCAGGTTCACTGGATTGATCTCTGCCTGGATCTAGACATTACACAGAGGGTTCTGTGAGATTCACTTCGCTGTGTTGCTGCCTGATGCTCAGGGGAGATAACAAAGATAAGGGTGCTTTTTTTCCCAGATTATTTTTTGGGGAGGGGAATGTCACAATATTCAGTAGCCAAGAAATGTGAAACCTTTAGCTTTAAACTGAAGTCCACCCTGAGCAGACTTTTTCAGGGGTTATCTAAAAACCACCTATATTTCATATCCCTGAGATCTGAACCTCAAGATCTGAAGGCTTCTGTTTAGCTCTTTTTGTTTATTCTGTTTTTGTTTACAAAACTGTTGGTCAACTTGAATTATGTATATTCTCTTTATGCTGTTTATATCATGACTTTGAAACCCATTTGGGATTTCATTCAGTATTTGATTAAGTTATTTATAGACACCTGTGTCAGTTCATTGTATTATACAGAATTAAATGTTTCAGATTAACTTTTTTTTTTTTGGTCTTTTTGAGACAGGGTCTCCCTGTATCCCCAGCTGGCCTAGAACTCACTGTGTAGACCAGGCTGGCCTTGAGCTGAGATCCACTTGCCTCTGCCTCGGAGCCCTGAGATCAAAGGCATGTGCCACCACACTGCACCTCAGAAGATTAACTTTTTTAGTTCATTGTAAATACCTATTCATCTTACTTAAAAATGTACACATACAGTCAGGCTGGTGGCTGGAGGCAGAGGCAAGTGGATCTCTGTAAGATAGAGGCCAGCCTGGTCTATATGTTCCAGGCCAGGTTTGGCTACAGGGAGATGCTGTCTCAAAAAATAGCCCCCCCATACATACATACATACATACATACATACATATGTGCGTGCGTATATATATATATATATATGCAAACTCATATATCTTTTAAAAGTACATACACCCCAGATTTCTTTCTATATATGTGAAACAAAGAGTAATAGAATGAGTACACATCAAGCTATCTCTTGGCTTAACAAGTAGTAAGTTATCAACATTATTTGAGCTTCCCCATCTTCAGAATAAAGCTACCTTACTTTGCTGCATATTATTCCCTTGTCTTTTTTTCTAGTTACACACCAACATATATAATGAAATAAATATGTACTTTCTTCCTTAAATAGCTTAACCTGGCTTCTCAGTCTGTACTGGAAGGACTTAATGCTTGTTTTGACCACCGAGGAGAAATCTTTGTGCCAGAGTTAGGCATGAGCTTTCAAGTTCAGCATGAAAAGACGAAGATTTTTGGGTGTCAGAATCCATTTAGACAAGGAGGCGGGAGGAAGGGCTTGCCCAGGTCTTTCCTTAACAGATTCACTCAGGTAAGATTTCCTGCTACTATAGAGATTAAAGGTGATAAGACTTCCAGCAAGTAGCTATTAGGATGTTCAGTATGCATGTAAGAGATGATCTGTTCAATGGTCCTCCTTCCTTGTCATTATCCTGGTTTGTTCTGTGACATGGAGAACTTGGTGCATTATCATTTAGAAGAGAATAAGGTCATTGTCCTCTTTCATCACTACACTCAGATTTGAAGGCTAGTCATTAATGATTTCAAGTGCTTATGTGTGATCTATTAATACATTCAGGCAAATTTTGTAATGAAAGTAATGTACTTCAATTAAAGAAATGTAAGAAAGAAAACTATCATAAAGAGTAAAAATCCAGTATCCGTCAATCTATCTTTGGCATTTTGGGTCTCTTATGCCTTTATTCTTTTTTACAAAGGCATGTAATGTCTATATGTACATGCTTGCTTGTTTAACAAATATTTTTCACAGTTTGGTTAATTTAGCAGTTAGAAAATGCCTCCAGATATTAATGATTGATTTTTTTTTTGTATTTTTAAGAACATTTATTATGAAAATACTGAACGGTTGAATGAACTGTAAAGATACTTGTATTGACTACCTAGAATTTGAAAACATTTAGGATTATTTTCATAGGAAGTTACTGAAAACAAATGTAATTTAAAAGATAAATTGTATGAGCCCCTCTAATGCACTAAGTAAAGCTTAAAAACCAATCTTCTGAATCAATTCTTTAATGTAAGAAATGTCTAAATCTCAATTATTTTTTATCATCAAATGAAAATGTCAAATAGCATGATAGGATAATTACTTTGAAGTGTTTTGTGAAGAAAAATATTGATAGCATGTTATGTTTGTTTCATAGGTCTTTGTTGATCCTCTTACAGTAATTGACATGGAGTTCATTGCCAGTACTTTGTTCCCAGCTATTGACAAAAATATTGTTAAGAAAATGGTAGCTTTCAATAACCATGTAAGTAGCAACTTGTATTTTCCTGGCTGTGTTTGAACCAACATTTTCTCAATATAGGATTCTTCCAAATCACCAGTCTCTCAAGCTAAATAAACAGAATTCTATGTTTCTAGTGCAAGGCAAGCTACTCATTTGAAGGTTATTTGTCCTTTCTGTGTTGTAGAAAATAGTGTTAATGCTTACAGGGTATTCCTGGCATTTGGAAGTCAGGAATGTGGGAAGGCATTTGAATCAAGCCTATTTTCATTCAGATCCCCATATGCATGTGCGATACATTAACAATAGTTAGTGCAGTGCCTGATAGGAGGACGTGTTGCTCAATAAGAATGTTTAACTTCTAGATTGATCATGAAGTGACTGTTGAGAAGAAGTGGGGACAAAAAGGAGGACCCTGGGAATTCAACCTCCGAGATCTTTTTCGCTGGTGTCAATTGATGCTGGTTGACCAATCTCCTGGCTGCTATAATCCTGGTCAGCATGTGTTTTTAATTTATGGTGAAAGAATGAGAACCAAGGAGGACAAAGAAAAAGTGAGTTTTAAAACTTCTCTTTACCTATCTATTTAAATGTTCATTCCTTCCTAAGACAGGGAAAAATATACTCACAATGACATTAAGTTACGTGAATTTCAGAAGCCACCAAAACATTCCTTAGGCTTTGAAGGGTGTGATTTGCTTCTGTGTATGTAACTCCCCATAGTCAACAAACCTTAGACCAGAGTTGCCAGGGCTAGGTTTTGAATTCAGTGGTAGAGCATTTGCCTCTGATACTAAATACCTGGATCCTGTGTCCAGCACCATGAAAGCAAAAATGATACTGTCTTCCAGTAATAAGAAACTAGGCTTTCATTGTATTTTTAGGGACAAAGAGGGATATTGCTATTTCCATAACAGAAGCGTACAATTTTCTTTTTTAAAAGAAAATAGCACAGACATGTGGATCCCTCTGAGTTCAAGGATAGCTGGGGATACAGGGAGACCCTGTCTCAAAAAGACCCAAAAATTTTTTTTTAATTTGTTTAATTATTTTGGTTTTTAAAAATATTTTAATATTTTTAATGTGTATGAGTGTATTGCCTGCATGTATCTAAGCGCACCTATGTCATACACTGCCTGAGGAGATCAGAAGAGGGTGTCGGAGCCCCTGGAACTGGAGTTAGGAATAGTTGTTAGCCACCATGTAGGTGCTTGAAATTGAACCTGGGTTACCTGTAAGAGCAGCCAGTGCTCTTAACAACTGAGCCGTTTTCCAGTCCCCTGTTTGTCTTTTCTTGAGACAGAGTCTCCCTGTAGCCCCAGCTGGCCTAGAACCTGCTATGTAGACCAGGCTGGCCTCAATCTCGCAAAGATCCCCCTGCCTCTACCTTGGTTTAAAGGCATGCCCCACCATGTCTGGCAGATTTTATTTATTTTAATGATTGTGAGTGTTTGTAGATTTTTTTTTTTAATGTGTGTGAGTGTTTTGCCTGCATGTATGTAAATGCACCTATGTACATGCCTGATGTCCGTGGAGGCCAGAAGAGGGCATTGGCTCACCCTTGGAACTGAAAGTTAAGGATGGGTGTTAGCTGCCATGTGTGTGCTGGGAACCAAACCTAGGTCCTATGTTAGAGTAGCCATTGCTCTTAACCACTCAGTCATGCCTCTAGCCCAAAGTGAAGGTTTTTCTGGGTTTTGTTGTTGTTTAAATTTTAAATGCCAAATTATAATATATTTCTTCTAAAAGATATAAGTAGATGTAGAGTAGATAATTCTGTATCTAAATGAGATCTGTTTGTAAACAGAACATAACACTAGAATTCTTCGCTTACAGAATTGCTGTTATATATACTTTCCCTGAGACTTTTACTTAGATTGTACTGTGTTGTCCAGGGTGTTTCCAAATGTTTTAACTTAGGTGTTCTTCCCACTTTAGCCAAGACTGTAGCAATGTTCCACTGCACCTTGTTCTTGTCCTGTTGATTTGTGGTAAAGAAAAGCTGTCGGCAGTAAGTGCTATCATGACCTTGAGGAGGAGGTGCCTTGTGTCATGGAGTCTTTTTTTTAAATATTTCATTTATTATTTTTATTTTATGTGTACGAGTATATTGCCTGCATGTATGTGAATGCACCCGTGTCATGCAATGCCACAGAAGTCAGAAGACAGCGTCAGATTCCCCTGGAACTGGAGTTGAAGACGATTCTTAGCTGCCATGTGGTTGCTGGGAATCGAACCCAGGTCCTCTGCAAAAGCAGTCAGTGCTCTTAACTGCTGAGCCATCTTTCCAGTCCCAGTCATGGAGTCGTAACAGGTAGCAGAGTAAAACACAGAGGGTCTAGTTTAGGTGCTCTACACTGTCTGCTAGTCTTTTCTGCTAAATCTCACCTTTTAAAATGAAATGAATTAGTGGCTGGAGAGACAGTTCAGTGGTTAAGAGTGCTGGTTGTGCAAGCATGAGGACCAGAGTTCATCTTCTAACAGCAGATCCTTGCCTGGTTTCTGGCATGAAGTAGCAGCTGTGAGAGGAGCAGGTGGCCGAGGAGAGCACAGACCAAGCAGCATATAAGTCCATGATTGATGCAGATGAAGAAGGAACTCCAGAACAAATTGTGCAAGAAAACCAAATTATAGCTAAAATTGAAGACCTGGAAAATGAAATTGAGGATGTAAAAAGTACTTTTGAAATGAGAAAAGTTGTATTAAATAGGATGAAACTTTGAGTTGATTGTAAAACCAACATGGAGGAGTTGGTGGTCATGGGAAGATGGCTCTTTCTATCAAACAGAAGTCTAAGGATTGCTTTAAAGATACAGGGGCCAGTAAGGAGTCAAGCGAGGACTGTGGCAGGGATAAGACTCAGAAGATGCACAGTGCTTCAACTGGAAGCAGCAGCACCAGTGTTGATCAGGCTCAGCCTCCAGCACCTCCTCTGCATCCCACCACCCAGGAACCTTTAGCACACCCTGTACATCCAGTTTTAGCAGCTCCTCAGGCTCTTCAAGCCTTCTCTGCAAAGGTATAATAGGCTATGCTTTCACTCCAAGTCCAAACCACCTAAAATAGATGAAAAGGAAAGAGAGGAAAACGGGAGCCCTTTCCCTTCACCCACCAACATGCACATGGAAGTCTCACAAGGATCATACCGATGTGAAAATTAAAATGATTGACATGCCTGTAGAAAGACTCATCTATCCAAAGGCCACACATATGTAGAATTTGAGAATCTAGATGAAGCCGAGAGAATGCTGAAATCCATGGATGATGAAAAATTGATGGCTAGGAGATAACTGCTATTGCTATATTGGCTCCTTGGATTCCGTCTCCCCCTTAGCAATTCAGCCTGCTGGGCCTCATGTGGCACAGGTCACCCCCATGGATGAGGTGGAGGGACCACTCTCTAGGCCACTGCTGCCACTGCTTCAGCTCCAATAATTCTCAATAAGCAGGACCATTAAAGTCGCCCCCGTAAATCAAGTTCCCCAGCTCAGAGGATCTGTAGGGAAGGATCCCTTACCCGACAGGCTTGAAAACAGCAGTTGAGACACTTTCTCTACTAGAGGATTCTGGCTGCAGTGGTTCAATACTGTGCCCATAATGGTGTCCTATAGTTTTCTGGCCTGAAAGTTTACCCTTCCCAGTTCCTGACTCTGGTTGCAGAGCCACTTGGGACCCGTCAGGCAGCCTCATCATCCTTGCTATTGCTGTGCCACGACTGCAGGGTCCAAGCCACTGTTCTTTTAGGCCTGGCCATGGTCCCTGCTGAGTCCTCTTCAACTTCTAGTGTTAAAACACTTTGGAAGGGTTCCTCTACCCCATAAATAGTTGTATTTCTTTGCCTCCATATCTGCTTAGTCTCTGAAATTGGTGAGCCAGTTCTACCTCTTCATCACCTACTCTACCCCCATTTTGTTTGCTGTTCATTGTGGTTTTCAGGTTAAGTATGGCAAAGTGTACATTGCTTTTTTTTCTTTTGATTGTACAGTCAGAACTATAAAATGTATTTTGAGTTTTATAACTTTGTAGCATTTTAGATAAGGTTGCATTTGTACTTTTTGTAGAGGAAAAGAATTGTGTTAAGTAAACAGGATTAGAATGCAAATTGAAAAAAATTACCTTCCTGCTACGTGTATGTTTTGGAAACATGTTTAGACTTGGCTAGATGTCTCATTATATATGCAACAACAGAACCTGGAAATTGGAATACTTCTTGTGGCAATACTTCAGATGACAAATACTCTGCTTACAGTATAGTACTTGGGACGATGGTATTGCCTAGTTTGTAAGTGGTCAGTTTTAGATGGATCACTGTGCTCTAAGGATAGTTTCCACACTTCCCTTAAGAATTATTGTAATTGACCAAATTAGGGGGAGTTGGAGGAAAGGAGATGATAATAAAAAGTAAAAATAAGAGTGAACATTAACATATAAAAAACCCAGGAAAATTGAATCCGACTTTATAAAACCAAATAAACCTGCTGGATTGTGAGTTTGCCATTTTAACCCTGTGGGAGAGTGTCAAGAGAGATGATCAGCTTCATTATGCAGATGTCGGTAAGAAGTTCCTGACCCAGAGATAGGTGACCGTCGCTCTCTGTGCCACTTCTAGTTTCACTGTCATTATTTGACAGATTATTATTTTTCCTTATTTTCCTTATTTCTGACTTTACTACACAATTACGAGAATATTGATGCTTTTAACACAGTTTGGTACAGCTGGAGGAGGAGTGACTCCTGCTGTATTAATATTTTTATATGCCCCTCCCAGCTATCCCCACTCTTTAGGCTTTAAAAAGGAATCAACAAAATCAATAAGGGGGAATTATAGCTATTTTGCTATGAAAATCAGAATTAATCGCTGAAAGTTCCTAACGCAGTGCTATGGTTGGTATATTGTTCTTCATAATCTTCATGTTACCATTGATGTTTTTAGATAATGACAGCAAATGTTTTGTTTTTAGGTTTGCCATGGTATCTGTGGCTTCATTTTAATATATGGTAAATCTTAAGTAGTTTAAAATTATTTAAGTACTCTGTTCTTGAACTTACTTACTTTCATTGCAAAAAAATTCAGTTAGTACAGTTTATGTGTATTGTTTTGTTGAGGCTGGACCTTGGTGTTTCTAAGGCTGTCCTGGAACTGGCTGTGTAGCCCTGGCTTCCCCTAGTGATTTGTTGCTGGGTTTCTTCTCTAAAAGTTTCCATTTCAGGCTTGCTTCAGAATTTGTGGAGTGACTTAGCATGGTGGCACACTCCTTTAATCCAGCACTCTGGAGGCAGAGACAGAACTTTGTGAGATCAAGGGCAGCCTGCTCTACATAGTGAGTTCCAGGCTAGCTGGCTCTGCAGGGAGACCCTGCACGTCCGCCACCCCCTCTTTGGAGTGATTTATATTTTCATTGTATCATCTTCTTTTAGGTCATCACTGTGTTTAAGGATGTGTTTGATTCAGATTCCAACCCTTACGTGGGTACTAGATTATTTCGTATCACTCCCTTTGATATTCAGGTAAGGAGATTAGAATAACCTTTATTCCTTTTACAGTTTTCTATATTTTCTTCTGTCTCACTATGTTGTCACTGGCATATTTTTTTCAGATTGGCTACTCAGTCCTTTCCCGTGGCAGTTATGTTCCTCACCCATCCCGCAGACCTCTGTCACTGTTACACCAGTCATTCCAATCGCTGGAATCCATCATGAAGTGTGTGCAGATGAACTGGATGGTCATCCTTGTTGGGCCAGCCTCTGTGGGGAAAACCAGCCTGGTGCAGCTTTTGGCACACCTTACTGGCCACACTTTAAAGATCATGGCTATGAACAGTGCAATGGATACTACTGAGCTTCTAGGTGGATTTGAGCAGGTACCTGGTATGCCTTTACATTGTCAGGGAAACTTGTGCTCTGATTGGGGGTGTTTTGTGTTAGTGGTGTGTACAAATAACAGTATCCTCAGACTTTGGACAACAGCTTCATATGCCCTGGAAATTCTAGGTTGATCTTATTCGACCTTGGAGACAGCTGCTTGAAAAGGTGGAGCGAACTGTAAGGGCACTGCTGAGGGATAGCCTTCTTGTCAGTGCAGATGACGCAGAAGTAGTACTGCGAGCCTGGAGCCATTTTCTTCTAACATACAAACCAAAGAGTCTTGGCGAAGATGGTAAAGGTGTCACCATGGAGATTATGAACAAATTGGAAGCAGTATTATTGCTTATGCAGCGACTAAATAATAAAATCAACTCATACTCCAAGGCAGGTATGCATATTTGAATGTTAGAGTCATACATTTCACATTGTGTCTGTTTACAGGAATGTATTTGTAGGTGCCATGCTCACAGTTTATAAAAGGAAACAGGGATAAAGGATTCCAGACTGGTGATACTGAAAAGGCAAATAGGAAAATAATTGGTTACGAAGCTTCGTGTTTCATTTTCTGTGTATTCAGCTATGTATCAGTCCACCATATCTAGGTACCCCTTCCCTCTTGTAAGCAGAATGTCTGGTGTATCTTGGTTTTCCCTCCCTGCTCTAATGTGCCATATACTCTTGTGCTGCCTTTTGTCCCATGTCTAAAAGCAAGAATCTAACATAGCATAATTTCTGACAAAAATGACCAAGTGAAAAATTCCAGACAAGAGTTGTTAATTTATGAAGTATTTGGTAAATAAATACCAATTGGCCATATATATATAATCTGCTCATTATAAAGGAAATCTAGCTCAGTGACATTAATTATACATTCTTATACAAATATATTGTAATGGATAAGAGACTATTATTTCTGATGCTTGAAAAGTTAGAAATCAGAAAAATTATTCACCTCAGCACCTCAAGATCAACTCAAGTATGTAGCTATTAATTGAAAAAGTTAAAAGGTTTTGTATATTGGGGCTGGAGAGATGGCTCAGTGGTTAAGAGGACCGGCTGCTCTTGCTGAGGACCCGGGTTTGATTCCAGCACCCACATGGTGGCTAAGAACTGTCCTTAACTCCAGTTACAGGGGAATCTGAAGCCCTCTTCTGACCTCCGCGGCATTGTACGATATGGGTGCACTCACATACATGCAGGCAGTACACTCACACACATTAAAAAAAAATAAAATAAAATGGGTTTTGTATATCCTAAATGTAATTTTGTTATCTGTGTTGAAACACAAAATCCTATTCCATTTTAGATCTTTAAAAAAATTGGACTAGAGCTGGGCATGGTGGTACATACCTTTAATCCCAGCTCTCAGGAGCCAGGGCAGGTAGATCTCTCTGGGATCTAGGCCAGCTGGGGCTGCAGAGATACCCTGTCTCACAAACAAACAACAAGAAGTTTTGGTCTTTGTTTTAATAAATTAGTCTTGGGATTTTTTCTGGATTTTCTTGGTAAGAAGTTAAATGGCCTTGGTTTAAATTGAATAACATGAATATTGATTCTTGCCTGTGGCATTACAGAGTTTGTCAAGCTGGTCGAAGAATTCCGAAGTTTTGGGGTAAAGCTTATGCAGTCAACCAGTGGCCAGAGTCATGGCACTTTTGAATGGGTTGACAGCATGTTAGTTCAGGCTCTGAAGTCTGGAGATTGGCTTCTGATGGACAATGTTAACTTCTGCAAGTAAGAACCTTACACTTAATTTTGAGTCGGCCTGATTGAAACGTGGGATATATTTGTTAATGTAAAGACTCAAAGCTCTGTACTTTAATTTCACTGACTTTCTTACCTAGTAATGCCTCTTAAACCATTTTTAGACTATCCTGTGGTAAACTATCTGGGTTGGTCATTAGACAACTGAAGTAACAATGAACAAAAGATTGCTTTTCTATATAGCACTTTTTTAGTTAGGGCTTTTTCATTTAACATTAGAAATCATTCGTTAGGGTCATTATTAAGTACTGATTTTTTTTATTTTTTGAATAAAGGATCTGACATAGGTAAATGTGATAAATACGTATTAATGATAATCACAAGTCTCAGCATTTCAGATCCTACCTACTATAAGGGACAGGGCAAGTATAAGTTATAGAAGCTACCTGTTGGTTGTGTGGTAGCTTCTGTTGTGGAGGGTTTTCTTGGATGTTTCCAATTGAAATCCAGTTACCTTTAAGTGGGTTTGATAGTGTTGGGAAGGGGGATGTAATTCAGAGAATTACCCACTGTTTTTCATATTTATTCAGTAAACATAGTGTATACTTGTATAAAACTGTGGGCTATGTGCCTTAGGGGATGGGAATGAGAAAAGGGAGCTGACCTTTGAAAAATACCACAGTTCTATACAGGGAGTAATCTCTGTGGAAGGAAGATATGGATCAGAAAGAAGCAAGCACAGGCTGTACAAGGACAGTAGAGTCAGGAGAGCATGTTAGCCTTATCTCCATTTGATTCTCTCTGCATAGCCCATCAGTGCTGGATCGACTGAATGGTTTGCTTGAGCCTGGAGGTGTCCTCACCATCAATGAGAGAGGAATGGTAGATGAATCTACTTCCACAATAACACCAAATCCAGGTTTCAGGTATTTATTTTAATTTTCTACTTAAGAATCTGCTGCCTTCAATAGTAAAGGCTACTGAATTCAGTGGAGCCTCCTGCATGCTGTATACCATGTTGTGTGGAAGTTTACTTATTCATTTTGTTAAAATGTATTTGTGAAGGCCCTACTGTTGGCCAGGTACTCCTAGGCTTTGAGGATAGCACAATACACAGAGGTGAATTTTCTGTCCTGGGTTGGCAGTAAAGCATAGATAGCCAGTAACAATCCTGTGCTGTTAGTCCAAAAGAAAATTTGACTTAGGGGGGAGGGGGAGTATCATATGGGTGGGATTGTAGGTTGAGGAAAAGAAGCAAGAATGGCATGTTTTCACTGGAGTAATTGGGCAAAATAAAGACGTCATTTATTGAGAAAGAGCAAATTTGATATGGGACAGGCAGGTAGGAATTTCTCTTTCTAATATAAGTGGGAATGTGAGATGGGAATGTGGGCAGGCACTGATGAAAATAGTCCAATCTGATTGTTACAGGATACACTGCTCCCTTTCCTGTTCTCTGTAGCTGAATTAGCTGTAGCTGAATGAATCACCACTGCCTTATTTTGGGGAATATCTAAAAGGAAGATTTTTAAATTCTCAGTGTAATTCCTTAAGAAAGTAGGTCTAGGGAGAGGAGAGATGGCTCAGTGACTAAGAGTGCTTGCTGCTCTTTCAATGTTTGGTTCCCAGCACCCACATCAGGCAGCTTATAATTGTCTGAAACTCCAGCTCCAGAGCATCTGATGAACTCTTCTGGTCTTTGTGAATACCTGCACACAGAGGCAGACACACATACACACAATGAAAATAAATCTTTAAAAAAATGAAAGAAAAGTGTAGATATATGTCAGGAGGTAGGTGCATGTGGTAATACAACACACTGAGGTACTTGACATCCTTGATGGAATTTCTGGACATGAGCCACATACGTTTGCCTTTACCAATTGATGCTAGAAGTAACACCATTGGTTACATGGAGATTTAACTCTTTCTCTAACTCCCTCTCAATTGCTGTTTCATTAGGCTTTTTCTCTCGATGGATCCAGTTCATGGAGAAATTTCCCGAGCTATGAGGAATCGTGGACTTGAAATCTACATTTCAGAAGGTCATGGAAGCCTCCCAGACAACCTGGATTTGAAAATTCTGTTGCATAGCCTCGGGTTGGTGGGGGACAGTGTGTGTGACATCCTCTTGGCTCTACACACAGAGATTCAAAGCATTATTGTAGGTAAGGTACTTGACTTCTGGACTCTGTAGAGTTGTAAGTCTATAGCAATCCATGTTCCTTTAGATCTAATGGAGTTCTTATATTTGGTGTACATAGAAATAGAAATTACCAGGAAAGCATCTTAAAATTCAGTCTAGGTTATCAGGAAGAGGCATAGGAGTCAGTATGTTAAAGATGCTCCCCTGGGGCCTGGATTAATGGTTCAGCAGTTAAGAGCGCTTGCTGCTCTTCCAGAGGACCCTAGTTCACAATCTCCTGTAGCTTTAGCTCCAAGGGATCCAACATCCTCTTTTATCCTCTGTGGATACCCCCACATGTACAGTGACTTACAAACAGGCATAAATATATATACACATAATTTAAATAGAAATAAAATCTTTTAAAAAATATTTTATTTATTATTTTTATTTTATGTATGTGCGTATATTGCCTGCATGGTGCTGGGATTCGAACTCAGGTCTTCTGCAAGAACAGTCAGTGTTCTTAACCACTGTGTTATCTCTCCAGCCCCATAAAATCTTTTTTTATAAAGGAAGTTTCCAGCCGGATGAAGGAAGTTTTCAGGCATAATGGCGCTTGCCTGTAATCCCAACACTTAGAAGGCAGAGCCAGGTGGGTCTCTCTGTGTTCAAGGCCAGCTTGGTCTACATAGCAAATTCCAGGCCAACTGGGGCTACAAGGAGACCCTGTCTCAAAAAGACCAAAAAAAAAAAAGAGGATTCTTCACAGGTAAATGCTGCTGCTATAGAGGCCAGTGTTTGAGTAATTCTGCATTATGTCCTGAGATTCATGAGCTTTGCCTATTGGACTTCAAATGGTACTTTATAGGCTGTACCCATTTTGCTCTCCTCAATGTGTGTTACCTGGAGATTAAAGATACACATGACACCTGTGAAAGGATTCCCAGATATACTGCAGATGGCCAGAGAATGAGAGGGATGGCAGCTAGGCGGTGGGATATAAATGATCATACAGGTCTACTTTGCCCAAAGGAACCCTTACTTCTACATAAGGCTCTCTAAAGTATGTGGTTAGGAGTTCATGGACAGAATTGATCCGTCTTCATCAAAGGTTTTGAAGACTATTGGTCACAGATGACTGTATTTTATCTTAGGTTCTCCAACATCGTCTGTGTCAACTTTGATTCAGACAGCCATACTCATCGTTCAGTACCTACAGCGGGGCCTAAGTGTAGACACAGCCTTTTCCAAAGCATGCTGGGAAGTGTATGTCTGCTGCCAGCATTCAGCAACAAACCGGAAGGTACTTTTTAAAGTTTCTTACCACTGCCTAACATGAAGGTAGGAGAATTACCTGTATAGATAGCAACTTTTAAGAGAGATCTGAACACTATTTTGTTTCAGTTGAACATCTAGTGTCTAAGAACTTTTCTGGAAGTTAGTTTAAATTCTTTTTCTGAAACATCGGCAGAACAGTAATTTAACTGTTATACTAGAATGAATGTGTCAGAATTGTTTGGAGATGATCACGTAAGCCCTAGAATCTCTTATTCCTTTGTCTGTTGATGGTTTTGGCAATGCCACTTGTGTCAATACCCTGTGCTTTGTACCCTACAGCTTGTGCAGTCTTTACTGGAGAGTCATATTTCATCTCTACAAGCACGGGAAACCTGGGGAAGCTCCATTCTTGCCACAGGACTGTGGCCAGATTCTATGCCCTCAGCTCTCTTTGCAACAGAAGATTCTCACCTCTCTGTTGTCCGAAGTGATGGTCAGATCCTGGCATACTGCCTCAATAGGATGAGCCTGAAAACCAGCAGCTGGGCAAGGTCAGCAGAGCCTTCGGCTTATGTGTTCTCTTGGATGGATTTTACTTTTGCTGAAAATGGCGAGGACAATCCAGATTCATGGTCATTTATTGTCCAGCAGTTGCATTTTTACGTTTATTATATTATTACTTCCTATCCCTTAGCCCATCTCTGTGCATGTACACACACTTATTCAGTCCAGAAGTAGATGCTTACTTGATTGATGAACCAAATGTTTTAGCCATGGCTGTTATATTGCTTATAGGAAAAGTGACAAATCAGAATTGGATGCTCAGGGTTGAATGGTTTTATCACTTAGTCAAGAATACATGTACTAGGATTGATTCCATGCTAAGTATGTTCCCTACCACTCAGCTATACCCATTCCTTAAGTGTATGCTTTAGTTGTTGTCTTTTATAAGCGTTGACTTCTTTTCCTCATCTCTTTCATAATGATATTTGTAAAATAATTGTCTCAAGGTCTTTTTTGGTCTTTTTGAGACAGGGTCTCCCTGTAGCCCCAGCTGTCCTGGAACTCACTATGTAGACCAGGCTGGCCTTGAACTCACAGAACTCCACCTGCCTCTGCCTCCCAAGTGCTGGGATTAAAGGCATGCGCCACCACACCTGGTATCGGGTTTTTGTTTTTTTAATGTCAAGTGTTAGGTTGTTCTAGGTTCTAACTTTTCTTATTACAATGAATTTCAGGAGTCAGCCTCTTACTTTGCAAGACTTAGAGAAAATTATGCAGTCTGGTAACCCAGAGAACTTGAAATTCAGTGCGGTAAAAGTGGATACTTACTGGATTGATGAACCAGATGTTTTGGCTATGGCTGTTAAGTTGCTCATAGAAAGGGCAACCAATCAGGATTGGATGCTCAGAGTTAAGTGGCTTTGTCATTTAGCCAAGAACATACCACAGGGGCTTGGTGAGTAGAAAAACTTGAATTGTCCAATAGAGGAATTTGTTTAAGTGCCTCAGTAGCTGTGTTGTTCTAGGACTGTGCTACTGAAATTATGACTGAGAAATCTTACAAGAAACGTGAGATTGCATTGCTATTTGTGTCACTATTAATTAATGCTCATATCTGCCCCATGGAGCAACAAGAGAAATGCCTCAGTATTTCAGAATCTGTCTACTTTTCTTTTCAATTCAAAAGGAAAATGCACAGTATCATGCTACATTTTAGCTTATTCTGTCTGAGAACAGTGTTTTCAGTAATTCATTTTCCCTTAAGATGCCTAAGGTTCTTTCTCTCTCTCTCTCTCTCTCTCTCTCTCTCTTTCTAAGTGTCAGTGCTACAGTGCATTTAATTTATTCAGAGCAGGAAAAAGATGATAGTAGTAGCCTCAGTTGGAAAGTACAGGGCATTGAATTTTTTGGTCAAAATTGTTGGCTTCAGAGGATAGGGAGATGGCTCAGTGGTATCACACTGGCTTTGTAAGTGCAAGGACTTAAATGTCACCCCCAGAACCAGTGTAAAACTTCCAGGGCATGGTAATGTAATTGTAGTGCCAGCATTGAAGAGATGAGATAAGAGGATTCCTGGGCCTTGCTGGCTAGCCAGTGGAACCCAGTTGCTAGACTCTAGGTAAATAAAAGACCTTATCTCATGGAGGTAAATAGTGGTACTGAAGATGACACCCCGGGTTGTCCTCCAGCCTCCCCATGCTGCATACACACACTCCCACACCCACATACCCATTTAAACAAAGGAATTTGTTGACTTTAGTAATTGAATTTACATGAACCTTTCTGTTCCTTGAGAACTTACTTACAGGTGGCATATGAATGTGATTTGGTGACATTTTTGTCTTGTTTTCTCTTATTGGTGATATGTGATAATCTAGCTATTGTAGAAGAGAATTTGTAATGTTTTTGTGTTCATTATTTTGTGTAATAACCACTAGCCAGAGACTTGCAAACATATGAATGACCATAAAGTAACTTATAAACTTCAGTGTTTTATTTGTAGTGACCACAATTCAAATACTCCTTGTTCTAGTTTGTTTCTCAATTGCTGTGACAAAATGCTCTGACTAGTACCAACTTGGGGAGGAAAGGGTTTATTTTGCATTACACAAAATAATGTAATAATGTCTTCATCAGGGATCCCAAGGTAGGAACTTAGGACAGGAACCTGGAAGCAGGAGCTGGAGTACAGGCCATGGAGTACGCTGCTTACTGGCTTGTTCCCCGGCCCCTGCTCAGCCTGCTTTCTTAGGCAACACAGGCCCACCTGCCCAGGGGTGGCACCACCCATAGTGGGCTGGGCTCTTCCACATCACTCAAGAAAATACCCCACAGACATGGCCACAGGCCAGTCCAATAGAGGCAGTTCCCCAACTGAGGCTCCCTCAACCCAGGTGTGTCAAGTTGACACTAAAGCTATCCAGCACACTCTTTTAGACTTCTAGCTGCCCATTTTCACCATTGAAGAATGTTCAGTTGTACAGCACTGCTTTAGAACTTAACATTGCCTCTTCTTCCACAGAGTCAGTACAGATCCATCTGGAAGCCAGTGCCACAGCTCTCAAGAATTTTTACTCAAATTCTCTCTCAACAGAAGTCAGTAATATCTTGAAAATATTACAAGCAAATATAACAGGTATGCAACTGCTTTTGATTTCTAGCTCTTGGCACTCTTTTGGAATCTTGTTCTTGGGTGATCTTTGGGGAAAGGCCATAGCTCCCTTGTCACAGTATTTTTTTCAAAAGACTTGTGGTATGCAGGTATCAAATGAAGGTAGAGTCAGGGTACAGCCTGGGTCAGGGAGATGGGGAGGGGGTGTGAGGAATCAACCAAAACTAAGTATTATGAAAATTCCATCAGAAAACCTATTTCTTTGTATACTCATTTTAAAAATGACAAAGTTATAAAACCATAAGGATCAAAGAAATTGCTAGGTTTCTAGCAAAATATTAAAGATGGCTTTTAAAAAAGGAATATGAGAACAGGCTTACCAGAACAGAATAATTCAAAGTTGATTGAGCATAAACACTAAAGAAGGGCTGTCACCACAAAGCTGAATGTTGATTTTCTGCTTCTCCCTTCATTTGATGTTGACAAATACACCATTGAGGATCCAGTTCTTACCTTATTATCATACACTGTCACATCTGTTATTTATGCTAAATAAACTTCTTTTAATGAAAAAAAAAATTAACTCTTATTTGGCGAATAGGAGCATTATGAATTTGTAGTGGACGAATTAGTTTATGTACACTAACGGTAATGGTAGGTTCTTAGGAAGAAGAAAAGAACAGGGAAAACTATGGTGGTCAAGTTGTGGCTAAGTGAAACAATGGCTTTTCCATAGGGAATGGATTGTATATTCATGAACTTGGCTCAGAAAAGCAGCAGATTGTATTTTCGGCAGGCACTGTCTTCTGTTGAACTGCTTTAGCTTTAACCTTACTTTCTTTTTCACTTCTTTGGCTGTGTGTGTCTTACTGGGCTTTTAGGTATATGTTTGCTCCTTAAAGTGCCTTGACTATTCACATCATACTCTTCTAGTCTGCAGTGTATTGGATGGTTCTAAAACTAATTTGTTCCACTGACTGTCCGGCCTAGCCCCCATAAATTAAAGTTGCTTTTTTTTTTTTTTTTTTTTTTTTTTTTGGCTTTTGGGGGCACTGAAGTATACCCATGTCTTGCAGGCCCACAGAGGTCAGAAGAGGGTGTCAGATCCCCTGGAACTGGAGTTATGGACAGTTGTTAGCTGCTAAGCGGGTGCTGGGATTTGAACCTGGATCCTCTACAAGGACAGCCACTTACCTACCACTGAGCCCTTTCTCCAGGGTCCTCCCCCATTTTATTTTGGTTTTGAAATTACATATATATTTTGTGTCTGTCTGTTTCTGTGTCTGTGTAGAGAGAGGTCAGAGGACACCTGATAGAGAGTTGGTTCTTTCCCTCTGCCAGGTGAGCGGGTGCTGGGATTTGAACCTGGATCCTCTACAAGGACAGCCACTTACCTACCACTGAGCCCTTTCTCCAGGGTCCTCCCCCATTTTATTTTGGTTTTGAAATTACATATATATTTTGTGTCTGTCTGTTTCTGTGTCTGTGTAGAGAGAGGTCAGAGGACACCTGATAGAGAGTTGGTTCTTTCCCTCTGCCAGGTGAGTAGTTGGGATTAAGCTCAAGTCATTAGGCTTGACATGGAGTGCCTTTCCCAGCTGAGCCATCTCACCAGCCATTATTTTTCTTTTTGAGATAGGACCTCTTACTGAACCTGGGTTTCCTATCCTTTTGGGTAGACTGGCTTCTCAGTGAGCCATCCGTCTATGTCTGCCTCTCCAGCACTGGGGTTACAGACTTGTGCCACTACATCCAGCTTTTAGGTGGTAGGGATCTGTTTTTGGGTCTCCATGCTTGCACAGCAAGCACTACCCACTGAGCCATCCCTCAGACTCCTAAAGGTACAATTTTTGTGTCTTGCCTCTTTCTTTCCCTTGGGGTTTTCTAACTTCTACAGGAGGTCAGTCTCATTGCTGCTTTATAGAAGATGTACCAAGCCTGAGCTAAAGTTTTATGAAGGAATGGACTACTCTGAGAGTAAAGAAATTCGTTATCCCCCCCCCCCCACCCCGTCACATCCCCCAAATCTTATCATTTAGCCAGGTTAGCCTTGAAGTTTCAGTCCTGCATTTATCTGTTGACTGCTGGGATTATATGCCCACACTGACATGTGTGACTATTTTGTTATTTGAGATGGAGTCTCCACATATTACTCAGGTCTTATACACCTGTGCTCAAGCAGTCCTTTTGCCTTAACTTCCTCAGAGGCTGAGTCTAGATAAGCACCATCACTCTGGTCAATGAAATTTAAAAAAAAATTTTTTTTTGTTCTTTTTGAGACAGGGTCTCCCTGTACCCTAGCTGTCCTGGAACTCACTATGTAGACCAGGCTGGCCTTGAACTCACAGAGATCTGCCTGCCTCTGCCTCCTGAGTGCTGGGATTAAAGGCGTGTACCACCATGCCCAGCCTAAAAAATATTTTAATAAGTTGTTTCTATTTTATATATATTGAGTATTTTGACTGCACATATGTAAGTATATCACATGTGTGCAGTGCCTGCAGAGGTCAGAAGACAGTTGAATATCTTAGAACTGGAGTTAGAGGTAGTTGTTAGCTGCCATGTAGATGCTGGGAATTAATTGTACCTGGGTCCTCTGTAGGAGCAGCCAGTGCTCTTAACTGCTGAACTATCTCTCCAGCCCCCCCCCCCTTAATGTTTTATTGTCGATTTATTTTACTTTATGTGCATGAGTGACTTGCCTACCTGTATGAAAGTGCGTCCATGTTGTGTACTGCCTATGGAGGCCACAAGAGTTGGATGGATGCCCTGGAACTGTTTGTTAGCTGCCATGTGGGTGCTGGGAACCAAACGCATGCCCTCTTCAGGAGCAGCCAGTGATCTTAACCACTGAGCCATTTTCCAGCCCCCAATATAATGTTTTAAAACAAAGCAATCTTAAGTTGTTTTTCTTATTGAAAACAGAAAACGAGATTGTTCTTTTCTGCCAGGTAAGTTAGGTGTGAATTTATTGTTCTTGTTGTTTTGGTTTGGTTGATTATTGTTGACACACTGAGTAAACAAGCCCAGGGATTTTTTTCATACCATTGAAAAGTGAGGTCTGAGGGTATAAATCATTAATCATCACGTTTATGTTTTAGCATGGTTTGTCTTTATATTCTTAAGTAGGAAGAATTTTCAGGATATATGTATTTGTGTTTGGAAAGGAAATTGTGTAAAAGCTATTGAATCCCACAGTGTTGTAGGCTGTAACCTTTTGACATTTCTATGTCACTTTTCCCCATCAGGACTCAATGTGAAGCTTGCTAGGCAAGGCATTTTAATTATACAATTCTTTTCTTTTTCTTTAAACTAGATGACTCTGTGATCCTTCTGGACCCCCGATGGAATATGCAGGCTTTGGACATCATTAGAAATTCAGTAGACTTTGATCCACAAGCAGACCAGTCTGAACAGCTTTTTGCCCTTTTAGAATCAGTTGCAAACAAGTAGGTGAAGCCTGTGTCTTTGGGTACTGTCTCACAACCTCACCCGTTATAGGATCCATCAAAGGTTATGTTTCTTTAATTTTACGAAACAAACAGTATGTGGGGTGCTTGAAATCATTGTCTGCACTAATCATTAGTGTTGAGATTTATGTCAAAATCTCTTCACAGGACAGTCATGTGTAACTTTTTTTTTTTTTTTTTTTTTTTTTTTTTGATCTTTTTGAGACAGGGTCTCCCTATAGCCCCAGCTGTCCTGGTACTCACTCTGTAGACCAGGCTGGCCTCAAACTCACAGAGGATCCACCTGCCTCTGCCTCCCAAGTGCTAGATTAAAGGTGTGTGCCACCACGCCCGGCTAGTGTAACAATTTTTTAAAAATAAATCTAAATATAACATATGTTCTAGGGAGCTAGTCTTATAAGTACAGATCATGTGATTCGGATTGATCTCCATAGAGTGAGTCCGTGAGTCTGGTATTGCCCCCATTGCTCCCTGTTGTGTTCCTCTTCCAGTAATTCTAACACCAGAAACGAATGCAGTGATTGCCTCTTTGAAGAGTTCAAAGTGTGCACTGTCATATTATGGACCACAGTGGAGTGGGCTCCAGTGTTCTCCATCTACCTGTCCTCTTGCACCTTTTTTTCTCTAGTCCAGAATTTGTGGAGTCAGGAGAGGAAGGGTTGGATGTGGGAAATGGATGCTCCAAGGGTTCCTAGGATTCAGTATATAGAATGCAAGAGTGGTTCTGGACTAGAGTATGGCTCAGTGTTTTAAGTATGCTTGAAGCCCTGAGTTTGATCCCAATACCACACACACAAAAACTTGAGTCATTTAAAAGAAGTTCTTTTAGTTTGGTGGCACAGGCCAGCTGGGGCTGTAGGAAGACCCTGTCTCATAAAAGACAAAAAGATAAAAAGTTCTTTTAACTAATAAATGACTCTTTTTGGATCTTATTTTAGGACAATTATCTATCTTGACCGGGAAAAAAGGATTCTCACTGAAGCAAATTTGATATCTGTTGATAGTAAAAAGTTAAGAAATAGTATTTTGAGAATGTCTTTCGAATTCCATAAAGGTTAGCACATTATACCTTTATATGGTTACACTGTGTTGCTGAAGTTAGGGGATGTACTCAGATGCTGCCTTCTGATTCCTTTGACTTGTTGATTTGCTTCCTAAGCATATTTCGTTACTCAGTAGAAATGATTGGTATTTGCTAAGCACTACTAACTCTAGTCTAAGACCTTGGTTAAATGCTTTTTATACACCCTTGATATCATGTACCTTATTTTTGTTTAATGTGTATGAATGTCTTGCCTACATGTATTTAAGTGCGTCATGTCATGCAGTGCCCACCGAGGCCAGAAGAGGGTATCAGATCCTTTGGAACTGCAGTTGGGGATCCCTGTTAACCCTCCATGTGGGTGCTGAGAACTGAAGCCTGGTCTTCCGCAAGAGCAGCCAGTGCTCTTAATTGCTGAGCCATCTCTCATTTACTTTTTATAGTAACTCTCTGAAGTTATGTATGTATGTTAAGTATGTATGTAGGTCATTATCTTACAAAATAAGAGAGTGGAACAGATGTTCAAGATCACCAAATTGTAGAGCTAGCACATCGAAAGTAGGTTTCTTATCTCAAAGAATATCTGTTTAGAAGCATTTGGCTATGAAGTAGAACAGTTTTCTCTTCCTTACTATAAACTGAAAAGACAGCTATACTTGTTAGAAGCAATCAGTCATCAAAATTAAAAGATTTTAAAGCTCATTCTATAACAGCTGCTATCAATAGTAGTTTCATTTATATCTTATTTGGGCTAACTATTCATCCAAACGTGTACTGAGCGTAATTGTTTAGTGTTTAAATACTTACATAAAAATGCTTATTTTCGTTTTGTGGCTTGAATTTTCCACTGAGATATTATTTACATCTCTGGGTATTACTGCCTTATCTCTTAAATTTAATAATAGGCATAAAATGTGGTTTTGATTTTTGAGTTTTCTAATAAGCCTTTATAGTAGATTGCAATTTATTTTGAAACTGTCTGAAGATGAACTCTAATGGAATGTTCTTTTATTTGTGTCAACTGTAAGATCCAGAGAGCTATCACAGCCTGCCCCATGAAATCGTGGTCAATCTTGCTGCTTTTTTTGAACTTTGTGATGCACTAATCCTTCTATGGGTGCAGTCCCCCCAGGGGATGGTCTCTGACTCCAGTGTCATTGAGGTAAGGCAATGTGTTTGCCTTTAGTATGACTACTACTTTAATGATATGAACTATATCCAGTATTCCCAGTAGATACAAGATACATCCACATATTTTAAAGCTTTGTAAGTGGCATATATTTAAAGAACGTACAGTTTGGTGTGAAACTATGATCACAAGATAGTAAACATATTTGTCATCCCTAAACATTTCTTCATACCTTTCATATTTCTTTCCTCTACCCTGCCCCTTTCTCTACTCTGTAGCCATTGGTTTGAATTCTTTTCCTATAGATCAGTAGCAATTTCTTTAAATGGAATTGTGCAATATAAATCTTTTGTGTGGATGGTTAATTTTGGATTTATATGTATGATTTTATGTATGAGTAGTTCATTTGTTTTTGTTAAGTGATACTCGTTCCTGGGAATGTACTACAATTTGAGATTTACAATTGCATTTTAACTTATTTAAGCATTCTTATGTATCATTGTCACAAGTGGATCAAATAACATTTTAATTCCAGTTTATTTTTGTAGATTTTGTAGTGTTGCATGTCTTAAATTATTTGATCTCAGGACCTCGTTCTCTTAAATTATCAAAGATCACAAAAAAGCTTCTGTTTATATGGTTATATCTGTCAGTATTAGGGTTCACATTAGGAACTGATATAGAAGTATCAATATGTTTTATATTAATATGAATATTTTAACAAAAGTAGCTGTTTTTCCAAATTGAAATAAGTAAGAACAAAAGTATTGCATTTCTGCAAGTCTCGGGATTTCTGGCTTCTGAGCAGAAAGTTGGATTTCATATCTGCTTCTGCATTTAGTCTCTTGTAGGGTGTTTGTGCTTTAAACTTCTAAAAGAAAATTTGACCTGTAGTTTTAGATGTGTGAAATACTACTTTACAACTATAGAAGTAGTATTTTCTTCTTTGGTAGCACTCTACAAACCTAACAAAAGGTTTGGATATAGACTCTGAAACACCCATTTTCTGTAATGTATTATTGGATCATTTGCATCTTGTATATTTATATTGATAATTTGAAAATATCGAATTGACATATTTTGTCCTACAATGTAACTAAGAGTCACACTTTTGAAAAAAATTACAAATTTGATGAAGTTTTAAATATTGGCAAAAACTGTTGGTTTTACTTGAGAACTAAAATTTTATCATTGGAAATGAATACAGTTCACCCTCCGTATAGTTCTGTATCACAGATTCAACCACTGTGGGGTAGAAAATGATTAAAAATTGTCTCTGGTCAGTCTTAGCTATCTAGTGAGTTTGGGGCCAGCCTTAGCTATGTAAAGCTCTGTCTCAAAAAAAAATTTTTTTGTTGTTGTTTCTGTACTGGGCATGTCAGACCTTTTTCTTGTCATTATATTATTTGTGAAGTGTTGTATGTGGGTTACAATCTGACATTAATTTATGTAAAAGACAAGCATATTTTGATATCCAGAAGAAGTTCTTGGTACAATTTACTGAGCAACAATTCTTCAAATTTTCTCTTGTTGCTGTCCTTTTTCTTTGTGTTTTTCCTTCAGGTCTTTGGTATTGAACCCAGGACTTCATTCATGGTGGGCAAGTGCTATGCCACTGAGCTTATATCCCTAGCCCTAAGTGTTTTTCTTCAGATAACACATTGTTTTTGTGTATGCTCAGTATAATTTGTACCAGTTATTTAATCACAGTTTATTGGTCCTTCATTTTATTTGTACCATGAATTGAAATTTCATTTAATTAAAGAAAGTATATAACACAATATTTGAACATAGTTTTAATATCATTAAACTCCAAAAGTAACCATTGGAGTCAGGGAGACTTTGTAAGACATAAATTATGTCAGCTAGCTGATCATGGTAAGACAGTTCAGTTATGAAAATGAACAATAGAGTAGAATAGTTGAGGCTCCAAGGTTATATAAACCCCAGTATAAGAGCTTGGAAAATTACATCATCATCAGCAGCTATTAAGGGAATAAAAATTGAAATATTAATGAAATAACCCAAACAAAATACCTAAAATTGAAATCTTTACTAGTGGTGCCTAGCAAGTGGTGAAATGGAACAACTGGAACTCTTAGGCTAAACAGCTGCTCATGCAGCATTTGGCAGTTTCTCATAAAATGGTGTGTGTCTTAGTTTGGCTTCTCTCTTGCTGTGATAGAACGCTCTGATAAAACCAGCTTGGAGAATAAAGAGTTTATCTGGCTTAAACTGAGAAAAACCAGGGCAGGAACCTGGATGCAGAAGGTTGACCACAGAGGAACGCTGCATACTGGCTTGCTCCTCTGGCCTGTGTGCAGCCCAGGATCACCTGCCCAGGGGTGGTACTACCCACATTAGGGTGCCCCCCCACCCCCAGCAGTCAGCAATCAAGAAAATGCCACACAGGCAATTCAATAGAGAAAATTCCCTGATTGAGGTTTTTTCTTCCCAGCTATCTAGCACATAAGCATACTTTACTTTACCAGTATAATCCAATAATTTTGTATTTGAGGTACTAGGAGAATCGATCTCTTTTATCAACTTACAGATATTTCAGTTTAGCTTTAGAATGTTCATGATGGGTGTCTGGTCTTTTGAAACATGGTCACACTTTATAACCCAGGCTGGCCTTGAAATTATAAGCCTGCCTCCTTTGCCTTCCAAGTGCTGGGATTACTGGTAAGCACTACCAAGCCTGTCATGTCTTTTACTGGGAGATATTCATGAGAAATCATGGTTTTGTTTTAGATCTTAGGTTCTGTTCGATGGCGGGACCGGTTTTGGACTGTGGCTGATACAGTAAAAGTGGATGCCTCAGGTCTGGCTTTGCTTGCTCTCCACTGGCACTGGGTTTTGAAACATTTGATCCACCAAATACCCCAACTCTTGGTGAATTTTGAAGACAAGTAAGACTCCTATATAGAGAAATAATCTTAATATCTATAATGTTAATAAGTAAGAAAGTTTGAAATGAAAATATTCTCCTTGCTTTGCTTTGGTGTATTTCCTTGGCTTGTTAATGAATGTAATAAAAAATAAAAATGTAGACAACTTCTCTTAGTATCTAACATTTCTCCCTTCTTTTATTTCCCTTTCCCCCTTTTTCTCCTTTAAAGATATTATAAAGAGGTTCAGACTGTCTCCGAACATATTCAGAATTGTCTGTGTAATCCGGCTGGTGGTTTTGCTGGTGTAAAGAAATTGCAGAAGTTCCTGGGACGACCATTTCCTTTTAAGGTACATCTGGAGGCATGTGGTAATTGAAACAGTGGAGTTCTCCTGGACCTGGAAGCTCAAGTAGAATTGTTGCTGTACAGCTTAGTTCTTCATTTCAGTGTTACTGTGCTGTGCCATTTATTCTTAAACTTGAACTTTATCACTGTAAAAATCTATCCAGAGCAACAGGATTATACAAACTCAAGTTTGTAGAAACATGAAGAAAATATCTTAAAATTTCTTCTCAGATGTATCTAGACTGTTGAAAAGACCTGCATTTCAGCTCTTGTGTAGACTCTCTTGGGTTTTATTTCAGGACAAGCTGGTAGTGGAATGTTTTTCACACCTGAAAGTCCTTAACAGAGCCCTTTCGGTCAGAGAGCGGTTACCTGTGTTTGGGGACCATGGGTGGCAAGAAGACATTAATCGTCTCCAAGTGGTTGTTTCTGAATGGACTTTGAAGAAAAGTCTTCTGCAGGCCTGGGGATTGATCCTCAGAGCCAACATTCTGGAAAGTGTCAACCTAGGTAATATATTCAGGTATTTGGCTTTCTGACAGTGCCTGTTCTCTTTGGGTATAGTATAAATACCTTTAAATAATTGTTACTCACTGGACTAAACTTTACTTGTGTTATTGTATTCCATTATTAAAATTGTGTAGGGGTTAACATCTGACAGGAGAAACTTAAAAACTCATGCTGAGCAATCTAGCCGATGATAGCTGCTTAATAGTGTCAACTGCTGAGATTGAATCTAGACCTTGGAATTTGACTGCTGTGATCTAATACATTTCTTCCTTGTTGAAATTAAAGATGAATTGAAGAATCTTGTGAATGCTCAATGTTTAGAGCTAGAAGCCAGAGGACTTCGACTTCATTTTTTGGAGAAAACACACGGTGAAGTTTCTTCCCCTTCCCAGCCAGACTTCAGATCTTTAGTATACCTCACTAGGCGTGTTCAGCTGTGGCCTGCAATGGAGTACCTGGCTATGCTATGGCAGTACAAAGTGACAGCTGATTTTATGACATGGGTTTGTCTGAGAAGGTAAGCCATTCGATTATTGTCTAGGGGAACGTATTTTCTTGTTAAACTGTTTTGAGTATACTCTGTCTTGAGGAGGAGTGATTGCTGAGGCACAGGGAAGTCACTGTGCCTGAAATTCATTAGTTGTTTTTCCACTAGAATTTCTTTTAAGTAAAAATATCTTACGTCTGTGTGCTCTACCTTCCCTTATAATTTGTTCTCTGGTAGTTCACTGACAGTCCACACCCTATTCTCTCTCTTTATTTTTGGAATAGGTCAAGGAAAAATTGGCAGCTACAGATAGATGAGGAGATAAGTCATCACATCATATTTTGTCTTAAGCACACACCAGTTGCATCTGAAAAGCTTTGGAGCTTTTGGTCTTTGCTGTATTACCAAAAGGTAAAAACCAGAATCTAGAGGGACATGAACTTCCTTCAGTTTTGCTTGATTAGATTTCTGTGACAGAACGGTTGCTGGGCATTGTGATGATTCAGAGTTCCATGTTGTTAACTGCTCTTAAAGTGAGAGGATTTTCAAC